TAAACAGACGTTTAACACATAAGGGCAGTCACTGTAACGGAACATAAACAGCTACTTGTAGAATTTGTTACAACAAGCTGTTTCTAAATCCCACACAAAAGAGAATTAGAAATGTTCCTGAACCATCTCAAATAACACACAGAAAGCTAAGGCATCCAACCACCTCTTTTCACAATGGCTGTAGAAAAGCTTATTCCAGGTTTCACCTCTGTAACTCTACAGCTAATACCAGGTTCTGCTCTACACTGATCTTGACTTAGTGTCTTAATTTTTGATGTGTAGCTTGTCTGGGAGCTGGACCTGGCAACAATTTTAGTATACTTTGAATTTACTTGGAGTCTAATTCTTTTTCTTAATGTAAAAAAGTAGGAGGGTTTTTTGGTTGGGATTTGGTGGTGATGGTGGTTTTTTTTGGGGGGTGGGGGTGGGGAGTTGGGGTTTTATTTGTTTGTTAGTTTAGTTGATTGGTTGGGGGTTTTTTGATTGGTTTGGTTTGGGTTTTTCTGTTTGTTTCTTTGGTTTTTGTCAAAAAGCAGAAAGCATAAGTTACAAACTAGAGGGAAACTAGAGGGAAGAAAAACCACAGAAACCAAACTCTTCTAAATACTGTCCTACAAAGATTTCATACACAATGTTATGCTAAACATACAAGTGCTTCTCAGGAAGGAGTGAAATTATCCATCCTGTTATTTAACACAAACTCTATAGAACAATTCCAGACCCAGGATGACAGCCCTGCCTGATACACAGAGCAGTCATAAATAAATCTCAAGTCCACTGGCACATGGTAGTCGGCACTGGGGAACGGGATTTTCCTAGGAAAATGTTCTGACACAAGTAGGTTCAATACGTTGTTCCTTAAGGGCATTTCTGCTTCAAGTAACCAGAACCAAGTGAACCCATTTGCATTAATATCAACTTCTGCTTTGCCTGGGAAAAGACCTTTATTGTACAGTATCTTGAAAGGTGATTTTTTTCCTATTCATCTGTACACTGACAGAATCAGAGAGTGACAAGTATTGAATTAAACTTTATTGCTTGAAGGGGTTTTATCACATTTAGAGAGAAGGAAATACCATGTCCAAGTTGTTTTTCATGTCTTCAAACAAAAAGATGTGAAGTAAAAAAAATTAAATAAAAATTCATGTCACAAGTATATTCATTTCATGTACAATCAGCCACTAATACTGATATCAGGTTACTTCATTTGGCAAGAGGAAAATGGAAGAGCATCCAATAGTTGTTGCATCTTGGTATTAATTTAAAAATATACCGAGAAGCTGGTTCATTACAAATAGAGTGGAATTTCTCAGGTGTTTGCTCAAGTGTGGTAACTGATTTTCATAATACCACGGATCCAAACAGAGGTGAGACTCCCACAGATGGACAGGAAGTTGTAGTTACACTTCACATGCTTTATTTGCATACATAATAACACAGCGACTCAAGAAGCCATGCACAGGAACACCTGGTTGAGCTCGTTAACACATCAAACCTTTGCAAACGTGGAAGTTCAGGAGCTGCCCAAATCCCACCCAGGACCACGCCTGACGAGCAGCTGGTGCCAGCTGGAAATGGCAGGAGGGGACTCGGGGCAGATACAGCTCCTGGGGCTTTCTGGTACTGCACCAGCACTCCAGGGGCAGCTCTGCCACACAGCCAGGGCCGCCTCCGAGAGCCTGAGCCGAGAGAGGTCCCAGCTCTGCTGAGCTCAGTTCCCTCCTGCAGCCACTGAGGAACGCCAGGGAATCGCTGTCACCACGTCTGTGAGTTCCTGCGCAGCACACAGCGTTCCTCAGCCCTGGAAGCATCTGGGGCACAGCTGGATGTCACGAGGTCTGGCCACCCCTGCAACCAAACTGACAAACTTCACTCGATTTCTAGTCTAAGGTTTCCTTAACAGAAACATCGTCAGCTGAGCTCTGATGGTGATTTACAAAGAAATTCCGGGTCAGAAAAGACACAGAAAAGTGACCAGCATTTTAAGCTCTGTCTCAAGTTTAATGATGCTCGGCACAGATTTTCATAATATTATCCACCTCAGCTCTCTTATCTGTATCACAAGTAAGAGAACCAAAAGCAAAGTTCTCAATAATCCTGCTTCAGTCTTACACTTCAAATTCCTCAAAGTAACTGATATTTTAAGACTGTATAATCTCATGACATAAAATTAATAACTTGAATTCTATTTCAATGCTATATGAGCTCCACAAAACTAACTGCCATAATTCATAGGTGACCTTAATTTTTAAAAAAACAAGATGGTAGACTCTCCCTACGTAAGAAAAATAAAGCCACTCAGATTGTGAGTGTTACTTGCTGCACAGCAGAGGCCAGTGGATCTGAAAAGCCAGATTAGCATTGGCTAATACCAGTCAAGGTCTTGTCTTGGACAAAGACACTTAGTTTTTCATTATGTCTGACATGGTAACAAGATCAATAGTTCTCGACTCATTCATTAACTGGATAACACTGTCTCTTTAAATTTCATTTTTTAACAAAAACATGGTGTTTCTAAGCTTCCCTGCGTATCACATACCTGCTTTATTTAAGGGAAAAGTCTGTAACAGGTTCGGTAATTGTTAACCAAAGGGATGTCAGAACTTCAAAATTCTTTAGGAAATCTAGTAAAATAACTAGTTACAAAATACCAATTCATATTCTCAATCTTGTGTTAACAAATGCACTTAAAACATTTGCCTGTAAGCAAGCAGCAAATCTCAACAGCAAATATCACTGAGGCTGATGCAAAGACAACACTCAGTCACAACTCAACACCAGCAGACTACGGGGAAAAGCTGAACTTTAAGGGAAATGAATAGCTGCAGTACAACTGTAACATCAAATTCAAACTAACAACACACATCAGACCGATGCCTCTAAAATATACAGACTTAATTCTCTAAATATATCTAAGTAGTTCAAATAAACCCTACTACAACCCTCAGACAACCTTTAGCTGAATGAAGATGGGTCTGTGTATTAGACTGAGTTTTAAGCGTCTTGTTTTCCTTGATGAAACCAGCCTGCTATAATCAAGAGTTACTGACACGCTAAACTGCATTTCAGAAGGTCAGGGAGAAAACCAGTGTCCATTTAACTGTTACACAAATGGCATCTGCCAGGAACCAGGTTTCCAGGCAGGCCAGGTGAGTGCACAGGGGTGCAGCAACTCACCTACGCAGCAGAAGCAGAGCTCAGAGTTATTGCACAATAACTGCTCAGACTTTGCTACAAGCTCACAGATAAACGCACACCCCGCCTGCAGCACACCCAGAGCACACACGGCGCCAGCCGGGTGGGAATCCGGGCAGCTCAGCCCAGACATCTTCCTTCCAAGGACACCCTGCTCCGGCCGCTGACAATTTATCTTACCCACACTTACAAGGCAGAAAACAGCTGCTACCGATGGGTTTTCTAAGTGTGGAAGAGAATAACTTGAGGAAACTCACACTAGGTATTGCAGCAGATCGCTTGTTTATTAAAATAAATTGAAACAGTCGCTTCCCAAAAAAGGGCTGTTATTTCAGGCAAAACCAGCGGCTGATTTACTGCTCATTCCCTTTACGGCACCTCAGGTGGGCCTGACCTGCAGAAGCTGTGCTGGCAGAGCGAGTCTCCAGAATTATTACTTACTACTTTCACACTTTCTGCCTCAAGAGATACCAGGCAGAGGGAAAAAAAACTCTCTTCCTCGTTCCTCACTAAGGGAGGACACAGCGTTCCCACACAAAACAGACCAGCCACGTCTGATTCTGCCAAAGAATTAGCTTCGTCTGGTGACTCCCGGCTAAAATTCACGTTGGCTCACCTAAAATAAATCTCCATTCCGGTCCCATTTAAACGCGCTGGCGTTGTCTCCACACCACAGAACAAATAAATAAACAAACAGCGCTGCATTACCATCCGGCTGCGGGGACTGGCAACAATTAGCGCACATTACGTGAGATTAGATACAACATCACGATCGCGTTGTTTGCTTGGTGTTTTAAGAGCAAACCGACCGAAACGGTGTTAAATCGTTCAGGGCTTGTTTAACACCACGAACATCCGCACCGGGAGCCAGAAGGGCTGTTCTAACTCAGCCTTATCAACTTAACGCTTTTGTATAACTACTTTTACATCTCCAGAGCCTTCAGAATCACCTCCGTGAGCACTTAGAGCCTTCAGAACCGCGTTTATGAGCGTTTAAAGCAACGCTGCCCAGATCGCCACGCTTTTAACTCGGCAAGCCGCCAGTTTTTGTGGTGGGGCCGCAACAGCCCTGAAGAACGAGTGATTAAAGCCTTGCGTGCTTTAATCCATCAGCGTGAGGGAAATAAAAAGAGGGGGGAAGGAAGGGGAAAGGGAAGGGGAAAGTGCGGCGCCCCCGCCCGCGGCGATACCTCCTTGTCGGGCACCCAGGGCGGCTCGTCGAGGCCGAAGGGGCTGCGGGCGGAGCGGTGCTCGGGCACCATGCGCAGCCCGCTCGGGGACCGCACCAGCTTCTTGGCGTCGCCGCCCGACATCTTCCCGCCGCCGCCGCCGCCGCCGCTCGGCCAGGGACGGGCACCTCCGCCGGCCAATGGCGGCGCGGACCCGCGGGACGGGCACGGCGCTCGGCCAATGGGAAGAGCGAGCTGCCGGCGCCCCGCCTACCCGCGCTGAGCTCCCCAGCCAATCGCCTGTCGCTTGGGGGCTTGAGGCGGGCGCGTTGTTCCCGCCCCGCCCCTTCGGCGCCGCAACCCGGAAGCGAAGCGCGCGGGCGCCTCAGCCGCGCCCCCCGAGTTCCGCGTTGGAGGAGGCGCCGCAGCCGCTCCCCGGGCGGGCGGGGGGTGGCGAGCTCGGCTCCCGCGGCTCCGGCGAGGGACCGCGGCCGGTGCAGCAGCGCCCGCCCGGGGCTCCGGGCACGCTTCGGCCCCGCGGGACGGCGGCGAGCGGCGCCCTCCCATTGGCTGTCCCACCGGGGCGGCCGCTCGGAGGAGATTTGATTGGCTCGCGGCGGGCGAGCTGCTCGCTGATTGGCTGCGGGTGTGCGTGACGAGGTGAGGGCGGGAAGGTATCGCGGTCGGTGCCCGTGTCCGTCCGTGTGTCCTTCCGCCCGTCAGTGTCTGCACCGCGCCCCCCGCCCGGGCCGGGACCGCGGGACACCCGCGGGACACCCCTGGGACACCCCTGGGACACCCGTGGCCGCCTCGTGACCCGCTCCCGCTGTTCCCCTCTCCCCGGTGCCTCATCAGTGCGAGCGGAGCGCGCGAAATGCTTTGGAGCCCCTCAGTCAAGGGTCGTCGTAACCATGGTTGACTTCAGTAAGTCTCGGCTGCTAACCCTTGTCAGAATGTTACTTTAAATAGGTCTTGCTTCAGAGTAACTGTTTCCTCGCCTGTGTTTGGTCTGCCGTGAGCATCCGTCACAGCTTCTCCTGCCCCTGTTGGAAAAGGGGTTGTTCATAAAGTCATGTATGCTCACATAGCTCCTGGGAGTTATGAGGGAGTGTCTGCCGCTATCCCTCGTAAACATTATCAGAATAATACTGAGAACCTCACAGTACTCTTCTAGGCACCCAGGGTGTTGTGTTTTAGACCAAAATATTAAAAGAACTGTTTAATGTTGTTACAAGAAACAAACAGACTTTAACATGTTGATATTAAATTTTCTTTTAGCTAATAAATGCATATTTGACTGTCCAATGCATGAGTGGTCTTGGGTCATCCCAAATTGCCCGTGTGAGATTTTTTTTTCTGTTTGAGAATGAAAAGCTGCTATGGAGAGTGTCAGATGACTGCGCAGTGTATTTGCAAGCCACAGAGCCAAAGCACTGTGCAGAAGCTACAGGCAGCTAATATTACCAGTGGTTCTTAACTGCAGGATTATTAGTTGAACTCTTGAGTGGGATATGTGTAAACAGCCATCTCAGAAGACTTCTGCCAGTGGGCTGAATCACGGAATCATTAGGGTTGGAAGGGACCCCTGGAGATCACCCAGTCCAGCCCCTCTGCCAAGGCAGGGCCACCCGCAGCAGGTGATGCAGGAACGCATCCAGGTGGCTTTGGAATGTCTCCAGAGAGGGAGACTCCACGACCTCCCTGGGCAGCCTGTTCCAGTGCTCTGCCACCCTCAACGTAAAGAAGTTCTTCCTCATGCTGAGGTGGAACTTTTTGTGTTTTACTTCATGGCCGTTGCTCCTCACCCTGTCACTGGGCACCACTGGAAAGGCTCTGGGCCCATCCTCTGACACCCAACTCTGAGATATTTGTGTGCCTAAACAGGCCCAGCTCCCACAGTCTCCCCTTGTCAGAGGGATGCTCCAGACCCCTAATCCTCTTTGTGGCCTCTGCTGGGCCCTTTCTTGTCTTACTTGTACTGAGGTGCCCAGAACTGGGCACAGCACTCCAGATGTGGCTTCACTAGGGCTGAGCAGAGGGGCAGAGTCACCTCCCTCAACCTGCTGGCCACAGTATTCCCAAAACAGAATAATAGTTATTGTATCAACATATATAATAATTATTATATCAATAATTCCCATAATATAATAATATTGATCATCCCAGAATAATTGTTACTTCTCTAAGATAACTGTTATATACACTGTTAATAAAGAAAGGTCCTCGAAACTTTTGACACTGATTTGTGCTTATTTTTTTCTTGCATGTGTCTGCAATGAAAGCTGCTTTAATCACAGATAATCACGTGATGCTCTGCTCGTCGCTGTGCTGTGTCAGGAAATGGACTGGGACCAGTTTGACTTGAACCCTAGAACAGTTGCTGCCCTGAAGAAAGGTAACTTACTTTGCCAAAGTCTCACTAACAGATCTGCCACTACAGTGTCTTCCTTCGTCCAACTGCCTGTCTGTGGGTGCAAGCCTGTAGATGGACACTAACACTTCAGAACTATAATTATTTAATAAACAATTTTTTGATTAATTAGAAGTAAGGCCTTTTGCCCATGCTCCAGTAATCATCTTCCAAACAATTCTGTAGCCTGTGCTGATACATTCCAGGTGAGTGTTGCCTGCCCACCTTAAAAGAATGCAGTGTAGATAAACCCTAAGCAAATCAGTGGTAGAAATTGGGAAAACTTTTCTGTGTTTAGACTGCGATCCAGCCAAAAGTATTTATAAAAATTCTTCTGGTTTCAGCTGACATAAAATCAGTGAAAGAGATTTTAAACCTTTCTGGAGCAGACTTGCAAAGACTGATGAAGCTCCCCAGCACAGACATTCAGTGCCTGCTGACAACAGTCTCTCGCACGCTGAGGAGGAACAGCATGGTCACAGGTGATGTAGTCAGTACAAAAAAGGTGTTCTGTTTAAAACTTAAAATAACCATCACTGGGACAAAACACGGTTCTGGCTCCTCGCTGACACAGTAATGTGGTTTAAAAATGAAAATGCAAGTGCTTTTATTGTGCCGTAGGGAATTATTTAACTATCCTAAGGACAGCTCCCTGGAGACCTGGGAATGGATGGGTGTCATTCTTCAGGGTCAAGGCTGCTTGAAACAGGACAAAATGATTCTCCAGCCTGAAAAACTTAACTAGAGGAAAAAAGATATTTCCTTTTTCTTTCACGTACTCTTTCTCCCTCGCCATTTTCCATTTGGACTAAGACTAGTTGCAAAACTTATATATTAAAAGCTGCATAAACTGATTTGGTAAAAACACCTCATTCCAAATCAAGCAGGACATAATAGTTCCTCCTGTACAAATGCTTCATGACAGCTCTGTGCTTAAGATTTATTTTCTTGTGATTGTATATGTCTTTAGGCCTTGGCCAGGTGCCTGCTGTGCTGTTTTATACTCTGCTATAGCTTTCCATTTCCATAATTGCTGGGTTTGAACCTTGCTGTCAGTGTTTTCCCAGAGTGTAGCTTTCCATAGAGACACCTTGGAGGCAGAGAAAGGGAAAAAAAGCTTGAGAGGAGGAAAAGGGCTCATTGTAAATTACCAGTTTTTGAACAGACATTCAGTAGTTGCTTTGTGGGGAAAGGAAACTGGAGAGGACCATCCTGACTTAGGAAAATTCTCCATCAACAAAGCAAGCATCCCTTGTAGATATAAACCTTGTAGAGCCTCTATTTTATATTATTTGTCTGTTAGAAAGATAATAAATGAAACTCTTTTTTTTTTTCTTTCTTTCTTTTTCTTTTTTAAATCGTTAAAAAAAAATCCCAACCACTGCAGCACTTCAGCTCTACCAAGATAAAGATCATCTCACCTCCCAAAGCCAGAAGCTGAGCCTGGGATGCTCGGTGCTGGATAACTTGCTAAAAGGCGGCATTCCTTTAGTGGGAATCACAGAGCTTGCTGGGGAAAGTTCTGCTGGGAAGACTCAGATTAGTTTACAGCTGTGCCTGTGTGTGCAGTATCCCTACAAATATGGTGGATTAGAGTCTGGTAAGTGCTGAAATCTAAATACTGATTAATTTGCCATTTGGAGGAATACACTGTCTTTAAGAACATTGTTGAAGCAGATGCACGTGTTCAGTAATAACTTGGTCAGTGAGTAATGCACCTTTGCAGAGAGTAGGGCATGCTGTGCACGTGTCCTGCAGCACAGGATGATTTAATTCAAAATTACTGTTGGCTGTTGTTTGCCTGCCTGCCACTCTGGGTTAAACTAAACACACTCAAACAGTGTAAGAACAGTATTGCTGTCATGAGTACCCCTTGAGGTGACAACCTCAGCGAAACAGCTGCACAGGGAATTTTCCACAAACATCTTGGGTACGTGGTATATATTCCCTAGCTGGGGTTTTGAAATTTCAAAGAATATTTTGTTTGATAAACAATAACAGTAGTGATTTACAGAGTAAAATTGATGGAAATGTAACTGAAGGAAGGTTCCTAGATTTGCCAAAGTGACGTCTTTAAGCAGAATTCTAAATATACAGGTTTATTCTTTGAGTGTATTTTTTCCTCTTCTGTCACACTGATCTCACTCCTAATTTATTTTATTTCTTTTTTTTACTATTCTATGATGCTGTAGAAAGGGAGGAAACTTGTGTCCCTTCTGAGAGTTTGGTGTCCTGGTAGTCTGCCTTAGGCGTTCTTTCTCTGTGGCTTTCTCTGTGCCTTCCATGCAGCACTGGCTTTATTTGGCAGCTCACTTGTTTGTTGTGGGGAAACTTAACAATCTCTTGAACTGTATCCACCCATGTGGAAAAATCATGGAATGCAGAAATTAAGATCTTGCTTAAAGGGCCATAATTAGCCCCTGTCTTACATTCCTCTGTCATTAATCAGAAGCAAGTATATTTTGTTTGATACCTTTGTGTGGTGCTGCCAACTGCTGCAAACAGGATGCAAATACGTTTTTATTCCTGCTCCAGCACCTCTCCCTGGTTATGTTGGAATAAAGGAACAAACCAGAACGAGGTACAGAAGAAGATGCCCAACATCCTAATGGCACTCTGGTCTCTTGCTTGTAGGGCTGCAGGATGGCAAGTGTTTTCATTATTTGTGTTTGAAGGTGATCCTGATTTTTATGCCCCAGGAACTCGGTGCTGTTACATTTGCCTTGTCGTGTCTGTGTTCCCCATGTACCTGCTCCCGAGTGTTTCCTGGAAGGTAGGATAGCATGGAGAACCAGAACGTTTTGGAGGGCTCAGAGGACAGAACCTGAAGGTCTAGAAGGTGGAAATACCCTGTTTCTGGAGTTGGAGAGCTAAGGAAGAGGTGGAATCCTAATTCTAGTTGTTCTCTATTCACAGCAGGGTATCTTGCCATCTGTTAGGCTGCACGCAGCCATAGCAGCAGATGATGTTTGCAAAGCACTTAGAAAATGAAACTTGATGTCTTTGCAGTCTTTGTAAATAAGGGTTGTGTTGAGTCTCTGATGGGAAATACGAAAATTAAAGCTTATGTTAAATATGAGGAGTTTTATCCTTTAGGAAACTTGAGGAGAACAGCACTGCTTAGAAACTCTCACAGAGCTCTAGCACTACCAGTAGAGGATTGATCTCAGTGCTAGAGGCTTGTATTTTTTTACTGCTTAGAAACTTCCCTTTTCTTAAGTGGTGATGTTGAAATACGTGTCTTTAAACAGTATGGATTTATTCTGCATTTACTTCATTTGACTTAATGCTATTCTTGTTTATAATTCTCAGTGCTAGGAGGTTGGCAGCAAAGAAATCCTGAAAGTAAACAAAGGCATCCTTTGCCTCCAGGATATCTTCCTGCCATTCCAGGAATGTCAGTTGTGTTCAGTTCCATATTGGCTGAATTTATTTTATATGCCCATATTCATAAGAAATGCGTGCATATAATGGGACAAATTAATATTCATATTGGAATTCTGAATTAGAAATCAGTGTTTGCTACTGATTCCTGCTAACAAGCTGGCTTGGTGCATGAAAGATTATGTTCATAGGAATCAAAACTTGTCCTTTTTGGGGGTGAGGTTTTTTAGTGGGTTTTATTTTTGTTTGATTGATTTTTGGGGGATGCTTTTTGTCAGCATCGCACATTTGTTGGCCTGAATAACAGATTTGATGAAATAGTTGACCTGTTTGGTTTTTGTGGAGGAAAAATGTTTAGGTGATCACTGACTGACTCCTTAAGAGTCTCTGTCAGCTTATTTCTCAAAAGTGGTAACTACCTTGACTCTTGAATTGCAGCTTCCTAATAATCTGCAAATAGCACAATGCCACAGGCTTTTCTGTTTGTGTTGTACAGCTCCTCCCTTTTTATTTGGGTCGTGACAAATCACTTATCTTTAAAGATACATGGCTGTTAAGTGCTTTTGCCTCGTAATTAGGCATTGGTCTTCAATATTTGATTTAGTAATTTACCAATATCTTGTAGCTCTACAAAACTAAACTGAGGTGGGAAATAGTCTATGAAGCAGAACTGTTCTTAAGGAAGAATTAATTTTATTTTATTTTTAGAAATGTTTAGCTGAAAAAAAAATTACCTGAATAACTGTGTTCACTTGAACTTTAAAATTCCTTTGACAAAATTTAAAATTCTTTCCCCAAACCCACTGTAAATTCAAATGTGAACACCCTTCACATGTGAATTTACAGTGGGTTTGGGGAAAGTTAAGATGAAGATGCAGTTTTAGTCCTAAAATAAATTTGGCTTAGACTCATCTTTGTCTCATAGAAAATTCTCAGGATTCAATACCCTGTCTTATATAGGTGTCTGTCAGCAAAATATTTTTATTGATATAATAACCATTAATTTTTATTTGATCTAGTCCTGAGATCTTTCTGTTTCCACTGTTGGGTATAGTTTCATATTTTTTTCCATGGAATGGGTAGAGGATTTGGACGTTGCATCTGGAAGTGGGAATCGGCACTTCCTGGAGAGCCCATGTAGGGATGCACCGTTGGGGTGGGAATGTTCAGGGTGTCTCATATTGCCAAACACATCATCTGCCAGGCTGTGTTAGCAGCTCCAGCCACTTTAGTGAGGGTGCTTAATCCTTGGATGTAGCCCTCTAAGCTGTTAACTCTGATCAGTTCTGCAATAACAGTGACAGCTTTTTGTAAGGAAAATACTGCATGTATTTTTGTTTTCTTTCCCCAACACCTTTGATGTGTATGGTTAATTTTCTCTGCATTACTTGTTAACTAGAAACCACTGTGAAAATATTTAGGCATCACTCGCAGTAATGTGATGGAAGTGTAATGTTTTTTAAATCTAATTATCATTTTCAGGAAGAGTTAATTGGAATGAGGTTGGATGAGTGGTCCTCTTTAAACTGGCTTAGAAATTGTGGCAATCCATGTGTAGATTTAAAACCTAGAATCTGGAAAAAAGACTGAAATAAATCAAAATAATAGTTGTACTGGTTTTGGCTGGGATAGCTAATTTTCTTTGTGGTCTGGTGCTGTACGACAGCAGATTTGGAGGGGGCACCTTCAGGTCTTGGGTGTTAAACCATTCTCTGGAGGTGTGATGCTCTCCCAAACTGCTCCCCTAGCTGTGGCTCTATGAGCCCGTTAGAAGCTCACACAGACCACGCTGAGGGATGGACGAAAGAGGAAGTTTATTGGGGATGGGGGCTTATATGGCTTTCAGGGGGATTAGAAAAGAACCAATTATAGTCTCAAGGTACTACAGAAAAACCCAATCAGGTAAAGAGTTAATAGCCAATAGAAAGGGGTGAACAAAGGCCAATGAGAAGACCTCAGGATATCTTCCCAGGACATTCCTGCATAAGGGTTCTTTACAGGGGGTGTCAGGAAGGAGAAGCAGTGACTTTGCAAAAATACAGAAAAGCCATTTTAAGATCTGTTTAAACAACATTAAAGACTTCTGTTTCTATAACATTTGAGCTGTTTTCTTCTTTTCCTTCACCAGTCCATCTCTGACAGGACTTCTTCCATCCTACATAGGGTAAATCCATTGCCACAGTGCTGTGTTTTGGATTTTTGACTGAAACAGGCAGACCACACAGTGTCACCCTTACTTGTAGTCTGGATAATTATGATACTTCTGATCACCCAGTGTAGCTGGTTGGGTATTCCACAGCTGTGTACAAGGAGTGTCACCCAGTGGAGAGGACAAAATCCAGTTGTGTCAGCAGGCACCAAAAAAAAAAAAAAGGACCTGACAAAACCAGGAAAGTCACAGGACTGAGGTTTTTGTTCATCATCAATTCAATGTGGTTGCAAACAAAGTAACATGAATTTCCAGGTACATACGTGTAGCTTTTGAGTGCAGAACTTCTTATTTTATATTTGTGCTATTAAGAAAGCTGTGTAAGAGCCCTGTTGTAATCCCAGGTGGTTTCCCTGGCTGCAGGAGCTGTCTACATTTGCACAGAAGATTCATTCCCAAGTAAACGTTTGCAGCAACTCATAGGCCAGCAACATAAGCTGCGTGCAGATGTTCCAGCTGAAATCATACAGAAGATCAGATTTGGAAACAGTATTTTTGTCGAGCATGCAGCAGACCTGGTAAGTAGTAGCACAAAATAAGAATGCATAATTATTACACTGTAGTCCAATAATCATGGGGGGGGTGTAATATAGGAGACCTTTCAAAAGGCTGAGAGAGGTAAACTAAGATCTGTAATGAATAAATACTACTTACTTAGAGTTTTACTGTGAAATATATTGAAAAATAGTATTTTTTTAGAATGAGTCATGCAGTAAATTTTTTAAGTCATTATGTTTATTGAAATGTAATAGACTTACTGCTACCAGTCCTACTGCAGCTCCTGGGGAGACCTTCACTGAGTTTGGAGACAGGGTATAAGTGTGTAAGCAGAAGGTGCTGTGTATACTGACTGTCCTGCAGTATAACACCAGAGCTGTTGAACTGCAAATGGGAGGAAAGGATACAAAAAGGGATGCCTGGAATGGGGAATGGGCAAAGAATCACCACAGCAGTGCAGCTCTCTTGCCCCTCTACCTGAAAGGTGTCAGAGTAGAACTGGAGGGGGAAATAAACAAACCTCAGTCGTGTGTTCTTGCCTTGTAAACCCATTTCTGTGCCTTTTCTCAAGTAGCAGGAGTATGCTCTTTATTGATAGAATGTCAGAAGTTCTGTTTTCTCTAAGGCTTGAAAGTAGCAGCTGTTGAATCATTCCAGTTTTTGGGCTTTTTAATTGTAGTTTGCAAGTGTAAGATCATCTTGCTTGAAACTTATTCACTGTGTGGTACAGGCAGCACCTAAGCCACCTTTTCCATGTCCTTTTCATTAGAAATATTAATTAAAGTTCTAATGGTAGTTTCTGGAAGTTACATGGTATGTCTTTGTAAAAAGGAGAGAATTGTCCTTCAGTAGTATGTAAATCTCTCTAAAATACCTTTAAAAGTAAAACACTACTCCTGGTAAGTCCAGCACGACAGATTATTACATTTCATTCTTGCTGTGCGTAGATGCAGTTTGTGTGCTTAGGATTGCAGTTCTGCACCCCTGAGATTTTGAAATACCAGTAAAGAATTAAAAAGCCAGAGCTGCAGGTAACTGTAGGGTGCAGTTTGGTCTTCTCGTTTTTTTTTCCTTAAGAAAAGCCACAAGAAGTTACTGTTGGGACTTAAAGATCCACAAGTTCCCTTCACGATTAGCAATTCCTTCAGCTCGTCCTGCAGTGCCGATACCTGTAGCTGATGTGACTCTCCTGCTGCGACAGGTGGAGTTCTGTGCCCTGTCTCACTGCTCTGTGTGTGTGTGGCAGGACACCTTCCACAGGTGCATCACGACGAGGCTGTCCCTGCTGCTGGCCAGGGGGATGGTCAGGCTGGTGGTCATCGACTCCATCGCTGCCTTGTTCCGCTGCGAGTTCGGGGTTTCGGAGTCTGTCATGAAGGCTCGGTATTTGCAGACCTTTGGAGCGCAGCTTCACAGTTTAAGCACGAGATTCAGGACTCCAATAATGTGCATTAATCAGGTATGGCATCGAAATTGCTGCTTATTCTATAGGGGCCGTTTAATTAATGACTCGAGGGTGATGGTGCACTCTCTGTGTGCAGATTTCATGGCAGTGCATTCACCACTGTCAGCTGAGTATTAATGACTGATGGAAACTGAAGCTTCCTTAAACTGATGTGCTTTAAACTAGTAAATTTTCTAGTCAAAATTTAAGAACATCATCTAAGCTTTTATAGACTCCTAACATTCTCAAAAGTTGCCCACTAAAGCTAACAAAAATAGGTATGTATAGCAACTGCACAAGAGATCAAAACAAAGTACCACGAGTTCTTTCTTGACGCTGGCTTCAAGTGCCATTGCCAGCAGGATCGCTCTGGGAACTCTGCAGGCACAGTTATATTCCAGGAGACAGTGAAACACCAGGGACTTTGCTGCATTTCTGTGGAGCTCAGCATTTTTGTGTAACTGCTGAGATTACTAAAGCACGAGAATGCATGGGCTGGCATGAGCTGAACAAAAAAAGGCCACAGTGATACTGGTCAAAAGGAATATTATTTTGAGAAAACAAGACAAGACACTGCTCTTAGTCTACTCACAAATTGAAGGAGCATATGAATGCTGGAGGTGAAGCACCCACAGTTGGAATATGGCCTCGGAAAGGGGTAAGTAAATGTGCAGGCAGGTCACTGATGGGAAAATTCAAAGGTCATGAAATCATTGAGAACAGGACATTTTTTTGGAGATTTGGGCTTCTGTACTTTTTCTCTGCAGCTACATCATTGGAACAGTTTTGAGGGATTTTGTTTGTGGGTTTTGGGGTTTTTTTTAAACAAATGAAGCATCTAGAAGTAGTTTAATTCACATAGGCTGTAGCTAGCTAAATAGTTCTAGCACTGTAAACTCAGCTTGTAATTCACAACTCCCTTTTCGTTTGCCTTGAAAGAATAAGGGTTTTCTAACTTGGATTCATGTATGATCCGATAACTTGGATTTTCTTGTCTTTATTCCCTTCCCTGCCCTCCTGCTCGCTGAACACAAACACACAAGCACAGGTCATCTGAAATGTTGTTCTTCTGCTTTAGGTGACAGATGCAGTGAGCGAGTTGGAAGCTGCTCAGTGCAGTTGTAGGTGAGTCATCCCCAGCAGAGTGTAACAGTGTCAAACACAGCAGCATTTAAACACTGGACTTTTTGTAACTCTATAATATAAACTAGGAGAGCGTGTGAAGGGCAGTAGGGCATTTACCCAGCAATGCTGTATTTGCTGGAGATCAGCACTAACTCATGTGCTGTGAAGGGGGAGAAGCTGTCACCTGCACTTAGGTCATAACTCTAATCAGCAAGTTAGCAGGAAAACTTCCCTGGAGTTAATGGCTGGTGTCCTTGCTTACACAGGAGTGGTTTTGCATCTCATCTGGTCTCTGATACGACTGAGTGCATTTTCTATCTGCTTAAAAAACACAGCAACCAAACCTTAGCAGTTGGCTTTTTTAGTGGGTTCAGGAAAAAAACCAAAATCGTATCTTTTGACAGGATTCAAAGGTACATATTTTTTTGGTTGTATCCTGACCTTAACCTTGGTTTACTACATAAGCTGGGTGCTACATAAATGGCTGTTTGTGAGGAGTCCTCTATGACCACCAGGTTCGGAAACTGACACAGAACATGGATAAGACTGAATTATTATTTTTTTTCCTGGTTATCTTGTAATCCTTTTACTGGAGAAATTGCACTTTATCCAGGGGGAAAAAAAAATTGGTTTTAAACTTTGGGTTGAAAGTAGTATGTATGTAGCGTTATAATTTACCCAGCATTTCTAAATATACCCTCAAATGGAACCCAGGGCCAGCAGTTACACACTTCACTTACAGTTCAATCATTTTTCTCTAGTGGTTTTCCTGTCTTAAGAGGGGGCCCATCCAGAGGCAGGTATTCCCCATGGCTGTAGTTGGACGAATGACAGTTGTTCTGATAGAAGCCCTTCTCTTCCAGCTGTTACCTTGCCACAGAGAGAACCTGACATGTAATTTTGTGAGAACACCCTGTCACCTCTGTCTTCAAAGACTGTGGTTTTCAATTTAGCAAACAATGTAAAATAGAGAAACAGCAGATCGTTTCTTCCAGTGTAATTTTGTTACAACAGAAGTGAAGATATTCCTTATGAAATTGGTGTGTGCAGAAGTGTGAGATACTGTCTTTACAGGGCAGTGGGGAACAGAGTTGCTCCAGCACTTGGAATAACCTGGGCAAATCAGCTGCTGATGAGACTGATGGCCAGCCGGATATCCCTGCCTGGACAAGCCTCTGGAGTGGCATCGCACTGCACTGGAAGTGTCAGGACTTTGAGGGTAGTTTTTGCTCCTCATCTCCCTCCATCCTCTTGCTACTATACAGTACAGTTGGAAGGTGTAAAAGGGATAAAATAACTCCTTTGCATGGTGAAGTATTCTGCTCCAAAAAAAAGGTATCAGAACTATGCTTCAGGAAGAATTACTAGTAAAGTGCAGTTCCTCCTAGGAAGGGAAGAGAGAAGTGGATGGTCAAGTACATGAACAACAGCATGACTTCATTTAGCCTTGTCCACATTGTGGAAGATGTTTTTACACTTGGATATTCGGCTTGTGAGAGAAGTGTTCTGGAGGAGAGTGAAGCTGTGGGCAGGTGGAGGCTGCACAGTGAAGTGGGAGGTGGCAATCCCCATGTTGGGGGAGACCTGATGTCTAATTTTAATAGCATACTAATGTAGAACCAACATTTACTGCAGTTGTGGACCCTCTCTGTTTCCAGACCCAAAGGGACTCAACTTCAGTCAGTCAGTGTTGCCTGCTGGTGGTTCTGGGCTGCCATTAAGGATAGCTGTCCTTTGAAATAAGACAAGGCAGCTTTGTCACAAAGCAGTGTCCTGTTTTAAAACCCCTTGTTATTAATATTTGGATTTTTAAAAATACAGTATCAAAAAGGTACTTGATTTTAACATCTTACTGTAAGAATTAAAATTGTACTGCCTTTGTACTAGATGGGTATGTTGAGCTTCATAGCACTTCTACAATTTTTCCTAGTGTTAAATTTCCACTCTTTTCCTGCTTTCCTGTCCCATCCCTTCATAGCAAAAGCCTCTTTAGCCTCTTTCATTTGAAAAATAATGAACCACACCCCCATCCCCTTGTTCTGTTTGCCCATCACTGAAGCTGTGTAACCTCAGGGCAAGTGCTCTCTTCCTGCTCTTCCTGATACTCTGCCCTGCTCTGTGTTGTGCTGGATCTGGGCAGTGTTCTGGATTGCTGCCTCTGGCATCCTCTGTCCCTGCTGCTGGGCTCTCAACTAAATTGTGCTTCTGAAGGGCATCGTCAGCTGTTTTCATCCATCCATGGAGCTTTTGCTCTGAGGTGATTTTTATTGTTTAGAGCTTTACATGGTTTTTCTTTTCTTTATCGTATCTTTTTCCTGTCCTCAGACCACTGCCATGGCACCTGCTTTTCCTGCTGTGGCTGAATTCTTCCATCCCTGAATTAGGTGTGAAAACAAGCCAGGTGAAGTTCCAGAGCCCTCAGACCTCACTAGGCCTGTGTTCTGTGGGTGCCTGCTCTCCTCCCTGTGTGATGCTCACTTGTATCACACACTCATGAAGCTTTCAGATTCCCCCCTCCTCCCTCCTACCTGCCTGCCCAGGTGGCCCAAGCAAGAACTCCCCGTTTCTGTGGTTACACAGCTCAGGTCTGTCTTTTGGCCAGGCTGCACTATATTAGTGAAACAGACACCTCCTCCACCTTTTCCCAGTCACCTTTCAGGACAAAGGCAGCCATCCTTCCATGTGGAAGCAAACAGCTGGGCAGCAGAGAGGAAGAGTTCTGTCTGGCTGCACGCTGGCTCAGCTGGAACTCTCTGGCAGGAGACTTCTCAGGGGACAGCTATGACTCAAGGAAAGGAGACCCTGTGTGACTGCCTCAGAAAATTCCAGAGGAGAACAGGAACAATCACACCTTGAAGCTGAAGGAAGGAAACTGGGCAAGCAGAACGGATGAGTTGCTTTCAGCACCTTCTGAAACTTCTTCAGGTATCTCAGGGGACCTTGTGCAAATAGCACAAGTTTTCTCTAAACTGATTTTCTAAAGTGTCTTAATTCTCTGTATTTGGAAATTACTGTGCTTGATGGTGGTTTTTAATAAAATCCAGCCATGAACTTCAGAAGCCTTTGTGTATTCTAAGGAAAAAGTGAAGAGTGTCACAGCTCAGTCATGGCTACCCGTCTTCAAATCCCTCCCTTCTGTGCCTCCTTGATAACAATTCAATGAACAGGTAACACTCCAATTTTTCCTCTTCTATCCCTGGCCTGTGTATCTGGCACTGGAACAGTACCCAACAGAATGCTTATCCTAGTACTGACTTGAAAAAAAAAAAAGCCACAGAGAGATGTAGCTGATTACTGTGAGTCAGTCAACTCCTACCTGGACATTCATTACAGGGAGCCTCATCAAACCCCACCTCCAATGCCAGGAGTTTGCCTCACAGTGTTCTGAACATGGATCAGTCTGATATACACACGCACCTTAAGGCTCAGTCTGTAATATTTTGATCATTCTTTTGCAAGGAATGAGCCATAAGCATTAAAAGTCAAAGATGAATCTGTAATCAAAGTCCCAGTTTAGCTGGTGAAAAACACTTTTACCCAGAAACTGAAGTAACATTTTGCCTGAGCAAATCTTCCTGTCAGTCACTGCCCCTGTTGGTTCATTCTTAACTCTCCAGCAGAGCAATTACAGTTTGTCTTCTGGCTCATCATCACCCACAAACCCTGAACCTCCCAAATCCAGCTGACCCCTCAGTTGATCACCTGTAGTGGCTGAATGTTCATCTCCAGCTCCTGCCCCATCCCTCAGTCCCACCCCCATCCAGCCTGGAATGTCCATCTGACACAAGTGCAGCTTTGGGGCCGCAAACCCCCATGGAAACTCAACAAAGCACCTGCCTGCTTTGAACCCGTCTGTCTAAAGGGTTGTGACAAGCAGAAGTTTTAATAAATGCAATTTAAGAACCTTCCCTTTATACAGCTTTATTCATCTTTGGGTTTCACAACTCAGATCTGTTTCTATACAAGAAAAAACTGAAGTAGTTTTTACAAAGATGATTTACATTCTAGAATGTATTAAGTCTTTATCCTGCAAGACTACATTTAAATATTTCTCTACACTTTGAAAAGAAACATTAAATGACACTTAAAAAACTTTAAAACATTTCAAATTAAACTACAGATCTGTGATGTATTTGAAGAGGCCTTTTTCAGCAGAAGGATCATATTCTGTGTTCGTTGCTTTGGAAAAGGAGAATCAAATTGATTTGTTACTTGGTAAAGAATTTACACAACTGACCTATTAACAAAACAGATGTAGTAAAACACTAAACAATTTCATTACAAGTTTCCTCAAATCACAGTGATTTGCTACTGTGTTACAGATAACATTTGTGGAAGCTTATTTTCAACACAGTTTTATGGGGTAAGACAGGCAGGTGAACTCTCAGTGGGATTTCATCCATAGCTGTGAGGAGCAGTAACTACTCAGATCAAATGCAGCATCTGAAAGCCAGTCTTGGAAGGTTTATTTATCTTTTTAAATCCAACATCAAAGTCATATACGGGGGTGGGGGTGATCTCCTCAAGAAGGATACACTCACAAATGGTTTTTTAGTTTTGCTGTTGCTGGGGTTTGGTTTTGTGAATGGTTGGGGGGGATGGGGAGGGGAATAATCCAATGCAGATGTTCCAAGATTTCCCTCAATTCTAACTATTTACAAAAGAACTAAAAGCCAGGGTGTACTTCTGTAAGTTGGTGACAATGAAACTTCACGGCAGCACATCTTTTAACATTTATTCTCTCGGTACAGACTAACATGACCGAAAATGCAATTCTCTCAGCAGCCTTCAGACACAATACATGACCTGCACAACAAAAGTAACTCAACTCACCAAATACTGTAAACACACTCTCAAAGCAGCACTGCACAGCCCTTTGACTAAATATTTACAACTGAAACACACTACTTGCAGAATTTCTGGATTCAGATGGTATAATTTAAGTACAGATACTTCTCAAGTTCAAAACCATTTTAATTTACTACCATTCAGGAGGACTTGGGGGGATGGGGCATCATTTATTTTAATGTACGACATTAAGGTAGACAAGGTGTCCAATTGTTTTTGTGTTTTGTAAGTGCTGTTTCAGCACTGCAGTACTGCAATCACCATCACAAATACCACAACAATATGCTGGCTGTTCCTCCAGAAGAGGAGCAAATCATGAAACAGGTACATTTTACAAGAATACTTGGTAAGATCTAAACTCAAGACCAAATATTGCCAATATCGGTAAAAAACGGCACACAACCACAGACAGAAGGGCAACAAGCACCTTTCTGTCAGTAACAATTCCATGTATGATTCATTCCACATCCTGCTGTACACTCTGGGACTCACCACTGTTCACAGAGAATCCAGAGGAGTCCTCATGTTTTCCATGAAGTTCACCCTTAAAATTCTGGTCAAGGACAAAAACGCCAGATTAAAAACACAACCGTATTACCAAGGTTGCAGTTTTCCTAACAAGATGTCTGTCACTTCTGAAAGTCTTTTCTAGTTTTCTGTTTCATCAGAGCTTTGATTTAGTTTGGTGCTGAAGACACCCAGGAATTAATTACACAATTGGATGTTCTGCATGTATTCTTTATGCAGACTTAGCTACAACTGGAACAGAGGAAACCCAGAAAGAAAATCTTGCATAGAATCGAACTGAGAAGCCCAACTGAAATATAAATGTAACAAACCATGTCCTGACAGTAACTCATTCACGATTCAAACACAGGGAATGTTGACTTTAACTTGGTTTTTCTACTTTACAAGTTCTTCTCAAACTGCCAACAGCTCACTGGCTCCTAACAGTAAAGACTTGGCTACCATTTGGGGGATTTATGGATTAAAGAAGTCTTCTAATTTGTTTCTTCTCTGAAAAAATAAAATCAACCTTTTAAATGTAAAAATTGTTTAATAAGCAGTAGCTCAACAACTTAACCTTCCATCACACTTTAAAATTCTATACAAAGGATTAAAACATTTAAAAGCACGGTATTAGTAATGCCACCAACAGCAACATCCTGAACAAGAAAGTTCCTCTGCGATCACCATCAACACACCATGGTGTTGCACTGTACACTGTAATTTGGCATGGTTACAGTTTATTGCTATTTACACAGTGTTGGGTTTTTTTGAGAGGCTGCAAAAAATCATTTTCCCCTCAAACCTGAAAGACGAATGTGGGAAACACTTCGTTCAGTTTAAGTAATTCCTTATTACCGAATCAGTTCTGTGTCTAAATAGTTTTGTGGGTTTTTTTTTTTTTTTTTGAAGCCAGATTTTTGTGAGGGTCTTCCAAGTGGAACACTGCCCATGGAGCTGCTCCTGCAACAGGAGTAAGCACTGTGCTGGTCAGAAAGGGACCCAAGGGGTGTTTGCAGTGAGTGTCTCACGGCACAAGGCTGGTGCAGGGCTCTCCTGCTGCCTCCTGGCCAGAGATGGGCACCCCTGGCCTGCCAGCCTCACCTACAGTTGTTTTTGCAAAGCCAGCTCAGTCTGCCTTTGTGCAGAGAGTCTATTTGCCAATTTCTATAGAAAATGTTTTGCTTTAGGGAGGGAAAAATAAAAGTATATATATTACATTTTTTTTTTAATATAAAAAGCTCTTAATAAAAAGATTAAAACTCAAGAGTCAACATTACATGAGTATCTACTGTTAAGATAACCGAGCAACAACCCGTTCCTGCTCGAGTTCACTAATGAATTGCACTACTCTGTGCTAAAACCTCTACACAATTATTAGCAGCATCGTATCTCACCGTTCCTAAACTGTCTCTATAGCAGGTGCACCACACGCAGCTTTCTTTGAAGAGATGCTCAGACGGTACCTCCTGGTAAACATAGTCAAGTGCATTACACAGACACCTTTTTGCATCAGTTACTGTAACCAACTTAAAACCAGGTGCAAACCCAGTCAAGTATTTCTCCTAAGTGCTAATTCTAATGACTTTTCACAGCCTGTTCAAATACTAAAACTTGCGTATCTTCCTATATTTTACCTCCTTCAGTTACCGCTGACCTTGAATATTCCAGCTTTTCCCAAAGTTAAATTTGTTCGGCATTTTCCAGCTCACAGCTATGACCACAAATACATTTGTTCGCACACCAGTAGGGCTTTTTCTTTTTTTACTTCCTCATCCAACTTCACGCGAAGAATTTTCACAAAAGAACAAAATTACAAGCTTTACAGAAAAGCAAAAGGAAATCCTAATGTCTATAAAATCCTTGAAACATACATAATTCCAGCAGCAGTCCTGTATACACACAGCATATATATATATATATGTGTATATATATATATTAACCTAAGTGGATTTAATGTGGATATGTGGTCACACAGGTCACTCGCCACTTTTGGCCATCTGGTGCTTCCACGGAGGCCCTTAAGATGTGAGTGGTCGCTTGCACAGCAGCTACTCCACAGTGTGACATCCCAGCGTGTAGTTGCCTGCTTCTGCTGTCACCAGCTATTATGGAGAAAGGCAGGATTTGGGATCACCACATGGAAACGTTGGGGCACTTTCAGCAAACAGAGAATGGGATTGTGAATTCCAGTGGACAAGCGGGAAAATCAACCTGAGGCTCAGTGTTCCCCTGAGAGCAGCCGCAGCTACCCGGGGACAGTTGCAGTCCAAAACTTGGGTATTCTTCTACCACACAAGGTAAAGGTTTTTTTCCATTTCTCCTGATGGACAAAACCCATCCTATCTCCATTGACTACTGAGCCCTAAGAGACTTACATTAGCAGAGTTATGGTCACAGGTGTTGCTATTCACGCTATTCACACGTAACACAGCCCCAGCCATCGTTCTGTAAAATTTAACAGCTCGGTCTAGTGGTTCAGTCAGTCGTGTCTAAGTGCTGTTTAGCCAGCCAAGGCTTCTCCCATCACAAGGATCAGTGGTGCAAGGGCAAGACCCCCCCTACTGCAGAGTGCTCAACTGGCATTTATACAGTAATGCACATGAACTTACCCTTTTCTCATTCCAGCCCTGTATGTATTTACTGACACACCCTTCGTTTTGCCTGCATTTTCAAACACCGCTGCATTTTGGGAGGCTTTGAGTGTGTTTGTATTTTCACTTTTTTTTTTTTTTTTTGGCTGCTGTAATATTCAGGTCTATTAAAGAAATCATTGTAAGTAGCATGAATGGGAGCAGTGCAATGAGCAATATGTATCTATAGTTTTCCTGTAAAGAAAACACTAACGCTGTGTTTAAAATCGTCCCGATTTAAAAAGTAAAAACAGCAGTCCATTGGGAAAAAAAAAACCAAACCAACAACATCTACAAACTAGGTGTTCCTATACACAAGGATGAGGAACCAAAGCTTTGAAGGTCTCAGTGCTTCTTTATTCACACAGGAATATTAACTAGCTTCTGTCCAAAATCTCAATGCGCCAAATCTGTATGACTGACACTCAGAGCTCTCGAGTCTGTCAGACAATTATTTCGTTCCTGTGTGAAGGGGAAAAAAACAAACAAATACATTAAGCAAATGTCCAGATAGTTCAAGAAAACAAACAAAATTACTAGTTTTAACAAACAGGAACAAGCAAATACAAGGAACTACTGGGAACTGCTGTTGTTGACGGTGGGAAGGGGGTTGATTTTCCATATTCTAATAAGCATGGTTTTCCCCAACTTTCAACTGGCAATACTGTAAAGTATACACACCTTTCCAATCCTGACCCAAACCTCACCAGAAATGCAAGGGCCCATTTATGGGAACTGCCATGAGTGTTTACGATGGGGGAACTACAAAAGTTCTCAAGAAGTGACAACTAACTATAACATCACAGTGTACACACAAACAATAAACTCCTCTCTTCTGGAAGCCACACCGATTAAATACACACTAAGGATCCAGTCTAGGGGCGTCTAGGGCATGGCACTTTGAAACACTGGTGCCGTCGCTGCAGAGAATTGTGCTCTACCCTGCATTTTTTCTGGCTGAAGCTCACCCTAAGCAAGGTTTTGCACACAATTCCAACCACAGAAAACTCTGCAGTTCATTCCTTAGAGATAATATGGTTATGACACCTTTACACCACTCAGGAGTGAAACGAGAGCCACACAGTTTTGGCTTTCCTACTTCAGGACACACGGTGCTGAAGATCCTCACCTACAGCTTTGTTAGTACAGAAGCAGTTTTATCTTCCTAAAATTAGTTGCAGTTACTGTGTTAGTAAAAAGCACAGCAGTGTTTAGAAGGCAGAACATCGCTCACTCGTTTGACAATCTCAGAAACAGTGATTTGTTAGGTAAAAACAGGCAGTGGGGAGTAGTAGCACTTGGGCACACCATGTACAGTTAAGCAAAATAAGGCCTTGTATTAGCAGAAGCTCAACACAGATCAGACAGACTTGTCAGACTGCTCCTGTCCAACCTCAGAAACATCTGGAGTCATGTCTACAGGAACCTGACAACAATTAAGATAACTGTGTTCTTTGCAATAAAGGGGTTGAATTTAAAATATACTGAGCTGGACTTTTAACAGTTCCTGCATTTTTAAGTTGCTTTTACAAGAACATAATATTCAAGTTTCACATCCACTGTAACAGAAAGTCCAAAGCCAGAGAGTGCTTGGTACCATAAAACCCAATGGTCTTTACTGGATGGACTTGAGCCCTTGCTTAAATTTAAGCATAATTCACAAAAGTGTCACACAGTGATGCCTTAAGCATGTGCTTGAAACATCTTACTGAAGTAGGATCTCACAATCACTGTAAATTCATTGTTTTATTATCATACTCTTTTTTATCCCAAACCCTACTAATAATATTTATTTCTGTAAGAGTATTGTAGGGCTTCTTACTTGAAAATGATCTTCAGTAGCCTTGCCACCCATGTTAAGAACATTCAGAGAACTGGCACGCTTCATGCTGCAACCAGGACAGTGAACATGCAAGGATAAACCGATCAGAATGGCTGAAAACTAACAGCTCTAAAAACACAATACAACAACAAGCAATGCACACTTAAGGGAGTGGGAACAATTGCCCCAGAACTGATCTGAGGGATACCCTTTAAGGTAACTGCAAAATTTCAAATATGTTTATATTTGGCTCTCAATTACATGTAAACCCAAAAAAATTACAAGCTCTTCTGAGCTTAAACATTTCAGGCAACTAATTTAATTTCAACTCAAAATAAAAATGTCCGTTTTTAAATTATATCAAATTAATACACTGACTTAGCACTGATTTTTAAATAACTAATTCTCAGTTTCAATTTTATGTGGTTTCTTTCAAAAGCATCAAAACATTCAGACAATTTAGGAAAAAAAGAGTGAAACATAAGTATGTCTGTTGTGTAGGCAGCATCTACCCTAGAAAAGCTACAACAGAAGTTAGTTTAGTTTTCCACCTCATCTTCAGAATCAATTTTAAAAAGCATTTTTAAATGTTTTATTTTAAACATTTGTAAGTGAAGAGAAACAAGATGGTTGCTGCTGTTAACTGTGGTTGTGCTTTTGGCTTTACAACACTCCAAGCAGTGGTAAAACGCACCCTGGAACACGGCACTGAAAGCAACAGATGAGGGGAAAAAAATCAATCACCTACACAGGAGCTACTGACAGTCAAAATATCACTGCATTAACTGCAATATCTGCTGATGTTCGAGATGAGGATTAATAGTTTACCTACATTTCTCAAACATACACAAAATTCAGCAAAAGTATTTTGATGTGTATGTATCGAAATTCAACATCAGCCTTAAGATTCCCATGGTGGTGGTGACCACAACAGGAAAATGTCTGCTGTCCTTTATCTCTCTGTCTGTCCATTACTCAGGATGTTCTGTGTTTGCTCTGATTTTTCACTAACTCTTTAACTAGTTCAAAACTACTAAATGAGAGCTTTGAATACGCATTTGATGAACAACTCACAGGACAACGAGCCCTAACCCTGCAGTGCTACCACAGCTTGAGACAACTGGCCTGTGCAAAGTTTCCAGTGCCTTCCAGCAACATGGAAAGGTTTATCCATACAGATCACGTTAGATATTAACCAGTTTTTCTTTCTACTGAAGCAGGACCGCTAACAGTCAAAGTCAAGCACGAGTTTTAAATGCTTTCACAGAGCAAAGGCTTAGCAGGACAATGAACCAAAACACTAACACAGACAACAGCTGCCACACAGCACAGGCTGACTGGTTTTTCCTAGTTAAATCTGAATGTTTCAAAAGCCAGAAGCACACCATTTAAAATATCTGACATGAGTGTGTTAGCAACAACAAAGCAAGGACTCATGCATGGTGTACACCTCTCATTTATTCAAGGAAACAGGTACAACAGAGGTTATATGTGGAAGTCAAAGGAAGTTAATCTGTAAAACAAACAAAATGTTACAGAAAACTCTCCAAAAGAGCATAAAGGGTTATGGAAAACGTTCCAGGGAAACAGAAAATCCACCAGTAAAAATTTACACCTACATTTTAGGTTCTTGCTAAAGTCTCAATCAAAAAAAAATTATTCACATCTGAGATACTGGCTTGCTTTTGGGTTGGTTGTTTATTTGTTTGGGTTTGTTTAAACAACACACTTAAGAATTTAGTCTGGCAAATGCACTTTTAATTCCCTCCATTCCAAACACAACTGTATAAAGAGCATGCAGTTGTTTTTCTGGTGCATAAATAATAGCAATAATGAAAGCGTTTTTTGCCCTTTTAAATTAAAAACCTTAACTGTTCTGCCGTATGGTCAAAATTTTTGAAGTGAAAAAATAAACAACACTAATTAAGCAAAGTGAAATTATTACAGAACTGAATTTTGAAATATGATAAGGAACTGATACCTTGCTTCAGGTATTGCATGTTTCAAAGGACAGTTTTAAGATACTTGTTTTTTGTCAAAAAGGCTTTTGCATGATTGTAAAGAAAACAATTTCCCTGATGAGTTTTCCACTTTATTCTCTTCAACATTCTGTATCAAGCAACAGCATGAAAACTAAGTCTGCCTTTCATCCTGTCATATTAGTGCATTGCTATTCAAATACTTCTCACTCAGAATCACACTAGCACTTGTCAATTCCTATTTACAGAAGCAGAGTATAAACAAGAGGTGTAAATCAATTTCAAAACAAAGTCTTCCTAGAGACACAAGCAGGGAATGCACTGGTAAGGAGGGAAGCACATAAGTCTTCTACCTAGAGTGGCTGACTTCACAGCAAAAGTTAGTCATATGTGTGCTATGTCAGTACTGTCATATTCAGCTATCAAACACACTAAAAACCAAAGGTCTGCATTATAAAAACTGAATATCTCTTTTGTTAAACTCAGAAAGAGGAAAAAAAATTAATTTATTTACTGAAGTTTCTTCAGAAAATGAAATCAAAATGATTCCTTGGAATATCAGTATATACAGCTATGCTTCATGATCTACAAAGCTGGTGTTTAATACCAGCAATCTTTGCATTTGAAATTAAAACCAGCTAATATAAATTAGGATTTTAGAAGTCTGTTTATTACAAGAACAGAAATTATAATATTTATTGTCTTACACACTCAAAGTGACTATCTACATAAAAGCCTGTCAATGCAATACACTTACTGCAAGTTTTAAGAGTAAATTATCCTTTGAGAACTACGGTGACATATGAAAAACAAGAGTATTTTGTCAGAAAGGGAGAGCAAGAAAGGTATTGCTCTGCTTTCAAGTTTGCTTCACATTTCTGCCCTTATTTGAGGAAATCTCATCTGGTGCTACAGACCCCACAGTGTAATTAACGTTAATGTGGGTAGATGATTTTTACATGGGTCAGGTAACACAACTGAAGTGCAAACAGTAGCAAGGCAGGTGAGTTCTTGCAGGACACTGCAAAGCCAAATGTCTTCAGTTAAGCATAATTTTCTACACCTATAATCACAGGGTTACTTTACCTGCAGAAAGAGTCAGCTACAAATACTACAGAGAACAAGGAATAACACTCCTGGCTTTTATGGAACTGAAAACCTTTCCATGTCTCACAAAAACGAGGAGAAAATGCAAACTTAGCTATGGATATATGCACCTATTTCTGAAAGAATATATCTGAACTACTGAGATAGGAAGTCTGGACAGAACTGAACAGAAACCCAACACGTAAAAACGCTAATACTGAAGAAAAGAAGGAACTCCCTTTTGTTCTATTTTGGCTTGCCTTTGTTTGTTTTCCCCAAAGGATTTTACATTTACACATTTCCTTCTTCTAATCACATGCTTTCCACAGTTTATTCCAAATTTATCATCTCAGAGGTAGTTCTTAGTAATGTTATCAATAAATGCAAAGGGATTTTTGATCCTGAATTCCATTCAGTGCCTGCAACATCAAGTCTCTGGTAGTGAAAATGTAGGTCATAATTCTAAAAATCAGGCTGAATTTGAAACAGATATGTGAGGAAGCTAATTCTACATGTACTGCAGCTGTACACAAGGCTTTACAGCCACATAAAAAAAATACGGCAAAACTTCACTGGAGCACTCAGAAATACAGTGAGAACCTGCCTCCAGGTTCTGTCTCAAGTTACATCATCACCATCACCATCATCATCTACTACAGTACCCAGAGTCAGCTGCTCCAAGTTCTCCAGTATGAGTGTTTTAAGCATAAATTCACACTGTCACAGAGTTTCCTGTCAACTAAATGAGTTCCAGTTTTCCCCAGCAAGGGCAAAAAACCCTGCAAAACTGACTGCAATTATGTTGGGGGTGAGGGGGAACACTCACTGGTGCCATGATGAAAAATAGTAGGTGCATTTTAACCTTTCTCTGCAGCAGTCATGAGGAATGATTTTATGGATTTATTAGAAATATCAGACATTTTCAAATCCATAAGCAGATGGCAAATAGGAAAGAGTGAGCAGTCAGACTCATTAAATTTGAGTTTTTACCACGGACTTCACTGAGGCCAAAATATTAATGAGATGCACAACGAGGTTCAAGTTTTTCAACATTTTCCTCTGCTCTCTGACACGTTTTCCAACGTGAGTTTTCCAAAAATAGAAACTGAGAAGGGCTCAAGTGGGTAATTCTCTTTGTACCCACAGCAATATATAAAGCTGTATCAAGAATATCAATAAGATATCAAGAATGTTAGTTGTGGGTTTACTGTATTCAGGCTTTACTGTAAAAATCAGTAACATATATTATTCTCCACTGCTGTGTGAAAAGGACAATGTTTCAGATAACTAACACTTATCAGTAATTCTATGACACTTTTCTAATCTTCAAGTAGCTAAAGCAGTAAAAAGGAAAAAAATATTGTTAAAACTGAGTTAACTCGTAAAAGCAAATGTAATTCCTGGGATGGTACAGAACTTACAATGAAAGTTTAGGAAATTATTTCCTATTTTATTTTTCTTTGAGATATAACTCCGTATGATACGCAGGTGCTAAGCAGGGAAGGAAACACTGCCCTAGGTACTACACTAGGCTACAGTGGGGGCACAGATGGAGGACACACCGGCACAGCTAAGAACAGATAGTTACCCTGGGTTCTTTGGTTCACTGTCCCGTGAATTTCCTCCCTTCAGCTTCCTAACCAGCTTCTCACTGCTGCGTCTAAGGGAAGCACGAAGCTTGCTAAAGGAACCACTGCGCTTTAGAGATCCAGTGCCATCCTGAAAGAAATTGAACACATGTGAAACTGCAAGAGGTTGCTGCCCTCCCCCTAACACGGCTCCAAAACATTTCATTGATGAATTATTATATCTTAACTGCTATTAATACATACTTATACCATATACAATTACCTGAACGTGTAACACCACATAGCTACGACTTTACCAAAACAAAAGCATTCCTTCCAAAGTGTAACAAAGATTTCTAAAGGCAAAGACCTGCCCAAGCCATGATTCATAGTAGCTAATAAAACCCCACCACAGTGGTCCAGCAATTCACCACCACCACGCCACCGTTTCACATGAACACACCGTGGTTAACAGAGTACAGAGCCCCGAGCAAAAGCATTCCATCAGTCTAAGAAAAAAACCTGTTTCGTTCTTTCTAAACATCTACATTACTTGCAAACATGTTTAATTAATCCCAAAATCCCTAAACAAAAAATATTTCTGGTCAGAAACACCCACGGTCAAATTCTGGTGCTTCGTTTTAACTTTCCACCAAAGAAAACATAAAACACAATGAAATTAATTTTTCATATATTGCATTCATGTTTTACACTGCTGTGCTGACCCAGAGAAACTTCTGACTGACCACGATTCCATTTTTAAATGTTTTACTCTTAAAAAGACCCCAACAGTTTAGTAAGATTAGAAGTGACCACTTCCTACTTCACAGAAAACTTGGGTGATTATGAAAGAAGAGTTGTGAAAGAAAAAAGCACTACTAAGCAAAGACAGACACCTGAGTTGGAGTGAGTTTATTAGAAGTTAGAAAGACAAATACACAAATCACTGAACACCAAGATTAGTAGAGAAAAGCATAATTGCCAAAATCTCACACAAAGACTAAACAGCAATGCTACTTTAGAATAATCATAAGTGAAGACATCCAGAGTTCCATATTGATGTTAACCATATAATAGGTCTCTAAATACATTTTAAAGCACTTGGAGAACATGCCTTACTTTTATGGGTTTGGGTTTTCTCCTGTAAAGATCACCGTCATGCCATTTCAATAATACCTTGTGTGATACTTTTAACTACCTTTATTCCAGAGTGAACAGCTACTTATAAAGGTCATTGTTACTTGTTTGGACTTTTTTTTTTTTGTTTTGGTTTTTTTTTTACTAATGTATTACACAGCAAATGGTTGTAATAACATTTTGTATGACTAGATACATATCTGGCAAAGCTACACATGTACAGAAATAGAAAACCAAAAAAAGACACCAGCACTGAAGGAATGGCCAGTTTACAGGGAAGTGTAGCTCTGACAAGAATCTTAGGGGGTTTGCTAAAACACAGCAGTCAGTACTGAAGAGAGAAGTTAAAGCTTGAAGATGGTGCACGCCCGTCATGCAGGAGACAGTATAAGAATCACAAAAGGCATCTAGGCCTGTCAGAAACGGAGAGAGAAAAACTGAATGAAACTGTTGGGAAAAATTCAACAGTTTTCAATTTCGAACAGTCACGTTTACAGTATTTCTAGGTCACATTCGAAACCTTTGGAGTCCGGGGTGAGTATTTGGATGGCCCTTTAAGTACAAAGTGCAGGCCCTTGTAATTACCAGAACCTACATCTTTAAACAGCTTCACCTACATCACTGATACGGGACTGACAGATGAGCATGACAGATGCTGTGCATTCCTTAAGTTGGCACTTGTATAAAATGCAAAACACCTTGAAGAAGGGATAGCTTTAGTATTACCTTTTGCCAACAAATGAAAAAAAAGGATTATTTTTTCCAGCTGACATTAACACAAAAATAAAAATAAAATAAATGAATAAATAAATAAAAAAGAAGCAAGGAACAGAGCAAGGTGCATTCATTTCAGCTTTAACTTCTGTCGGGAATTTTCCCTGAAACAAAAGTGCAAGAAGAAAGAAGTCTTCACCTAACCTCCAGACAAAATTCTGTTCATCCTTTAAGGAACTAAAAATCCGGCTGTCCTGGGTAAATTCAGTTTCACAAGTATTTTTTAGAACATATCTCTGTGTGTATATATATGTATATATAATCCAAATGGAATTTTCTCTGCTTTCCCTAATGCAGTGAGGCAGTTGAAAGAATCCACCTTTTTTAAAATAAACTGTGGCTCAATTTACACACTTTCCATCCTGGTCTAAGTATAGAGACTATTATTGATAAGCTTAAGATACCTGTCCTGAGAGCCTTACCTGTAACAACTGGAGTGAACAGTAATTAAAATTATCCCAGGAAATGGCAAAATGCTTTGCTACCAAGTGATCAGAAGATCAAAATCTAACCGAGTATTTCTGTTTCAAACTACACTGCATACATTGTTTACACTTCTAAAAACAGACTTCAGCTTTGCAGGATTGATTAAATTGAAGTTGAAATTCCAACCAGAAGTACTAGATCAGTGAAAAAGCTAATTATTCCTACAGTCTGAAACCAGAACTACCATAATAGTGATAATCATCCAAAGAATAAAGGCAAGACAAATTTGGTGGGTACAGAGTATAACTCTAGAGTAAACCTAATTAGTACATGAGGAGTAAGCAGACAAGCTTTTGGGTACTTCAAATCTGAAATAAAAACATCAAACTCCCAAGTTAAACACTGACTGCATGATTATCAAAACACCTTTAAAACATGAGTTCAGGATTAAAAAAAACCCCATTCATAAATCCAGAGTAAACAAACAAACAAAAAAATCACAGGAGATTTTTATGGCAAAGTTTAATTGACAATTTTTATGTCATTCAGAGTGAGAATCACCTTATTACTTCTGCTTACATTTCCTCACTATCACCATCTCCTGTACTTTGTAGCTGTCTGCTACAATGTCCCCCTGACTGTCTCACACTTACTAAACAAGAGTAGCTCTCATCAACAATGAAATTTACTGCTTTCATTTCACATCTGGAAGTGGACTTATGTGCCCAAAAGCCTGTCTTTTTGAAGCATATGGGTTAGAGTAAGAAAAGATCCTTCTCCACACTAAGAATATTTTCTTAAATTAAGTACCATAAAGATTTTTATCTGTCCTGTAATGGGCTGCAAGATCAATTTACAAAAAATGCCAATTACAGATACTCACTGTTATTTTTGATATACAGATATAATAAGGGATTCAAATCTCAGCCTTTCTACCTTGAATTTTTAAAGCCAAGTATTTTTTTGGAGGGATTTTAAAAGTAACACTATTTATGCACTATAACAACCTCACTTGATGAGTGTGCTTTAATAGTTAATGGCAGATTTACTTCAGTGGGTATTTCAGTTCTTTTGTAAGAATGCAAGACTTTACATCAAAGCATATAATGCCTAATATGGATCACACTACATATGGAAGGCACTTCATTACATCTTCCAACAAAGTTTTTTCGTTGAATTTTGTCACTTTACACACTCCACCAACTCTGACAGCCAAGAGTAGGAGTCAGCTTGATCACTTCAGAGGAATTTAAATGGAAAAGGCTCTGCACACAGAAGTCAAAGATTCTACTACACTTCATGAATCAGAATATTTTGTCTGGAGGGAACACACAAGGGTGAAAAAAACTACACAATATGAAGTAGAGGGAAGAACACCACTGAAACACTTGCAGGGTAGAGGGAGAGAGAGTTGCCCACTTCATGTAAAACATGTAATACAAAACATCTTCTCTTAAGGGAGGGGGAAGAAATAACAAAGATGAGAATAAAGCAATGCCACTTCACACTAAAAATGAGGTTTGTTAACCCTGAGAAGTCAAAATTTAATTTTTCAGATCAATAAATTTTATCACTGAGTTTGACCTAGAAATACTGTCTCTTGCTTTTCCCCAGAAGGCCCTTTCCATCCAAAACCTGCATGCATGTTTAATTCATGTCAATAACAGAAAAAAGTTTAATCCATTTAGAACATATAGTCATGCAAAGTACAGTGAAAATTAAGGGAGGAGTACAGTACACAGTTCTAACGCTGAATGGGCAAAATGAGAATTAAAAAGAGAGTTATCCAACCTGACTTTGGCTTTATTAATGATGCAGTATTATTCACAATAGATGCTGATTGACTGTCTTGGCACTGAGAACACCAATGCCAAGAAAACAATAAAGAGACAAAAGCAAAGATGGAAAGAACATTGTCCCTTAAGACTAAAGCACTATGTGTTTTATCAAGGTTTCTTTGGAATGCTAGGCTTTGTCTCACGTGGCCAACAAAAAGATGGGAAAAAAAAAGATTGCTATTGTAAGAGAAATGAAGCTTCAGAACGCTCAGTATTGCAAAGTAGGCTACTTCCCCTCCCACACAGCAAAAGCAACACCACTTTTATAAACTAACAGAGTACTTTCAGCAGAACTACAGCTGGGAGTTAGTTAACAGTGCAATACCTATCCCATTGCTGGCAATGGGATAAAGCATGGGAAAGCTGGTGACAGAACCAAACAACTGCATAAGCCAGACCAAAAACTGAAAGCTTGCACTGTCTTTCAAATTAAAGGAAAACAATGGTTAGAAAAATGCACATGAAATAATCACATTGTATATATGTTTTCACTTTATGACGATCAGTGTAACACAGTGAAGCCAATATATGGGAAACAAACAGTCCAGTCTGGGGAAAGGGGTATTAATTTCAATTAAGAAATATGAAGTCACCATCACACTGTTATGTGATGGCACTTCCTCTTAAAATGGATTGTACAGGAGCTTGAAAAGTTACATTCCTCCATCCAGCAAGTTGGGTAAGGAGGAGATTTGAATTATTTTAGTGTTAGACTGGTAACTTCACTTCAAAACAGCTAACACTCAAAACATCTCCATGGCAAATGGTCTTTGTGATTCCAACTGATGCAATATTTTTAAAGAAACATTTAAATTATGGGCAAATACGGCATCAAAGGGAAAAAAGCAAAAGTAAGTTAATTGCCAGAATATTTCTACCAGTAAAAGAAAACCACTGACAAGCAATTGTACACCAGACCACCACCAGGACACTCAATCAGCATTAAACAACTTGGTGTTCAATACAACTGCTTGGGATTCTTGCAGAAATGTCACCACTCAGGACAACGAGAGAAAAGGTATTTTAAAATATTACGATTTTTTAACATTATAAACAGGCAAAATGTTAATTCCTCATTTCTTAATTGATTCTGCAAAATTACAAAATACGAAGTAGGTCAACCATTTAAAAAAAAAAAAACCACAACCAAAAACACAACAAACTACTGAAAGCACACCAGGCTGGTGGGTGGACAACCACGTTTGTCAGGGTGGTGATTTCTCTAGGCTATGTTCTAAACTGTGTACTGTACTTACCCCGTTCCACTCTACGCTCATACTCACTTCCTCGCCTCCGTCAGGGCCGCTCTCGTACTTTACCACGTCCACGTTGAGGCTCTCCCGGCTCCGCCTTTTCTCTATGCTCTCAGGGTCATTCAGCACTTCAGCAACTCTCTGTTTGTGAACATTGTCAAGACCCTGAGAATTAGATAAAACGGGAAGAGGCTTTATCTTATTACAAGCTGCATAAATCTACAACGTACACACTGCAGAAATCAGCACAGTGTGAAGGGCACGGACAGCCTGGAAGTTTGAGAATTCAGCGACTTGACATTCTTTTCCTCTTTTCTTACCACTTGTCTAAGCCTCATGGTGTTTGTGTCACTTACCTGAAGCCATCCAGCCACCAGCTGAATATTTAAGCAATTTAAAGGTCATGAAAAGTCAATGCAATCCTTAGTTTTCCACCTATCAAACGGTGCAGCTCTCACTCACCTTTGGAAAGAGCGTTGCAGGTGTCTGAATATCTAATACCTAAGAAGCAAGTTGTGTTATTTAAAAATACTGACATGTGACACTTGGCACTGTAGTATAATTCTATCCTTCAAAAAGGAATAAAATAGCAAATAAGCTTATAATAAACAGACTATATATGTGGCCAATAAAATACCTTTACTTGGTGTTAAAGAATGCCCATCAACTATCAAATAATCCTTTAAAATACCTTAAAAGTGCTAAAATACCTCCTATGAAAATCCTGCGCTAAAAATAAAGGCAAGATCTTTAACACAGAAACCATAAAATAGCAAAGCTCAAACCATACTTATTTTCAGTTTTGTTTTCTTTACAGTAAACCTACTCCACATCATAAAGAATATTTGCTGATAGGAAGAGATCTGAATGCCTTACACTTGAGAGCACATTCTGCATCTTTTACAGTACAGCATTAGCAGCAAATGCAGCAGGGATCTGTGTGACAAATCCACAAAGCCAACCACAATGTAGAAAGTGAAAAGGATGTCAAAATTCTTAACAGTGCATGAATAACAATGGAAGTTGTTCTAGTGGCACGGAGAAATCAGGTTCTTGGCTCCCATATAGTTTACTCCTAACTGAAGAGCTTAAACAGTCCATCCTAATGGAATTCTACACACAAGGAAGCATGAAACCAACACATACTGATGGTGTATTTTCACTTCCCCGTGGGTGCAGGGTGCAGAAAGTGGCTGCAGCTCTCAGACAGCAGAGAAGCAAAGGCTCACAATGGCTTTTGCACCAATCCTTCAGCAGCACAGACCACAAAGTGTGTAAAACAGAGTCTAGGTCTGTTCTGAAGCTATCATCTCTCACTTATCTCACATGTGAAAAAAACAAAATAATGAAGGGTCAGGAAACTGCAGCTTCTCAGTTTGTTCAGTTCTGTCATGAAAGACAAAGGACAAAGAACACTACTGGTCTTCAGAAGTCTAGCAGAGATATCGTTCCCAGCAGCTAAATCAAACAAAACTTGCATGAAGGAGAACAGATATGTGGAAAACTGATGCTTTTCCACACCTGGGAACAAAGGCACCTCTTTGCTTTTAGCCCAGAAGCAGAAATGCATTAACCCTGTTTTTCCTCCTTGAATCACCTAGAATAAAAAGGTAGTGTTAAATGCTGCCAGTAACACAGCATTGTTTCCTACATGTTTACTGTCATATATTATGGATTAATGGTATAGATGGTATATGATGCATAATGAAAATCTGAAGCTTGCTTAAAAATCAAGAGGCAGTAACAAGTCACCAGCAGCCTCTAAGGAAAATGGGGACAAGGAAGAATTTTTGCAGTGGTACTGACAAGCCAGAAGAGGGATGATTAAATAGGGACTCTAAAAAAGAGACTTTCTCCAATAGCAAGAGCCTTAATTCCCAAATAATCAATTCCATGCTTCCCAGTAAAAATTTGAACTCGAAAATCTGGTGCTCTGATTTTTGTTTTGTTTTTCTAATATAAGGAAGTAAACCAACATAACAACATGCTAAGTTTACTTCCAGGCTTCTTAATTACTATTATATTATGCCAATTTATCCCAGTTCTATCTGTTCACACTAAAAAGTTATCTTGCATAGTGGCAACAATAAAACTAAGAACCAAAGAAAGTTATGTTAAGTTGCAGTGTGTGTTCATTTCTTATTTTCAAATCATATTTGAATGAGACCCTCTGAAAATGGACCTTCAGTAAAAGTATGTGAAAATCATCTTCAGTAAAAGAAAGTATTAGTATCAACTATTCTCCCCAACTCCTTGAATTTTCTTTGCTGAAGAACTTTTCTCCCAAATTTCTACTTTCTTCTTACCAGTTTCATTCCAGTTCTTCAGCAAACACTCGCAGGTTTCCCATTCTTTTTTATGGAAGAAAGAACTTAGGTCACCTTATATCAAAGGGAGCTGCTGCTGAATTCACTAAAAGAACATGAGGTTTGCCAGGAACTTTTTTACTGTCTCCCTTTTCCAGACATCTATTTCTATATACATCAAACACTGTAGTATCATTCTTTAAAAAACAACTTCAAATCACTTAAACCAATAAAAACCAGTAAGTTATCAATAAAGATATGGTCCATCACCTAAGTCCACTCACTTCAATTTAAAAATTAGGTTTAGAATTCTATATGGAAAAAAAAAAAACCACAACAAAACAACACACTTCTGATAAAAATACAAGTCTTATTTGCCATTGTATAAAAACTGAAATTAAAACTGAACTCTCATTTTTTTTACTCATATTTTCTTACTTTGCTTTCCATTTTAACACTGACTGACAACATGTTTCTTTGTCCAGTTTCACACACTTTTGTAAAAGACATTGTATCAAATCATCCAAAAGGGAAAGAAAAAACAAGCCAATAAAACTGCAAGAAAAACAAACTGTTTTGTGCCTTCTAAGAGAAGGGAGAAAGCAATACTTGAACAATAGATTTGAGAGCACAAAGACTGCATAGGACTTCCCCACATTAAAAGAAAGTCCCTGCTTATACTGTAATTTTATCACCAGTTCAGTCAGAGGTCAACACCAGGCACCAGACACTGAATAGCTCCAGGTTTCTTTTTTTTTTGGTTTTGGGGGGTTTTTGTGTGTGTGTGTGTGTTTGGTTTTTTTTTATATTCTGCAGGTATGACACTGAAGTCGAAAATCTGCATGACCACAATGCAGAAACATCACTCAGGTGAATTTTCATACTTGCCTGTTTACGAGATCTCATTGCTGCCTCTTCTAATGTTTCAGCAGCTTCAAATTTGCCCTGTCGTCTGTAAAGTGCCCCAAGGTTCTTTAAAGTAGTTGTGACTGTTGGACTATTTAAAGAAAAGGAAAAATAAGAAAAAGACTTGTGCATATACACACACACACCCTTCTTCTCAGTTCACTACTAAAATCTTAAATTAAGATAGTATTTATTGTATTTTTTGTAATAATTGTCTCTCTTGAAATACACTTCACGTACATGGAATAACCTGCTGACCCCTTTCAAAGTGCATTAATGGCTCACACTGGGAATAGTCAACATCCCTGAAACTGGAGTGCTATGTCCTTGTGTTCCTCAGCTGCATCTCAAGGTGAAAGTTTAGCTCTAGAGGAGCGTGTCCAACTGAATAATTGTGAAACTTCCAGAAAATATACTTATTCATGCATACAGTGACCATTACTCTAGCGTGTGTTGGTCACAGAAGTAATTAACAGTTTCTTTCTCCAGCTCTTATTTAATACCTATTTGCAGCTTCTATGCATTCATATTGTGCTTGAATAACAAAAAGAAAAAAAATTTGCCTGTTCCATTAACAGGTCTCACACTCCAACAAGACATTTTTGTTTCAATGGCACAAAATTAGCTCAGTCACAGCATTGTTGCGTGCAGTTTTGCTCCAGTAACAGCAGAGAAAAGATTTTCTCATGCATTAGAATGAACTAGTACATGAAAAACAAACCAACAAAACACACTGCACCCAGAATTCAGGATGGATGGAAAAGAGCAGATTTCAACAGCACAAAGGTTCTGATGCTTGTTCAATAGGAGAATTCAAACACTCAAGAAACTAAAAACCCTCACTGATAATCAGTACCAGTTGCAGGTTTTTTCACAATTGTACCGCCTGCACACTAAAAAAGTTGCAGTAATGGAACAAAATTAAAGCAAACAAAACATATTTCACCGAGTATAATCCAAGCTGAAGTCCTTGTTTCTCTTGCCGTACTTTAAAAGTACACGCTTTCATTAACACAACTATATTCCTCAAGCTTTAGAAACTCAAATAGCGCTTAACTGCGGCAGCTCAACTTTGCTTTCTTGTGCCAGCTAAGCAACTGAAGGCTCAGTTATTTACACAGACTCATTTTTGGCTCTCTTCAGAGGCCTTGATGGGGCAGAGAAGGCACGTAGGCCAACCAGCAGCACAGAGCAAAGGAATGGTGACCTGTGCTGCCACATGAAGGACTGCCAAGGACACAACTGGTGCAATTTTATGTCACTTACTAGATCTAACCAGCCTAGATTAAAAACACAGCCTCAGGACTTGAAAACTGCTACTGTGTTCCTGAAACCCAGCCCTGAGCGCTGAATTTTTAATACTATAGTTTTTATAGTCCTAAGCAAGCAGCTGGTTTGGTTTAATTTTTAAACGTGCTTTAATCTGTCATAGTGGGTATTGCTGTGTTGTTTGTCCTGTCAAGAAGTCACCCACCTGTCAACTTTGCAAGCTTTGTACCAGCCACCATATTCTCCAAAAGATGTGCCATCTTTCTGCTTCCCCTAGAAAAAAGAATCATTGAAGAAAAAGAACTGATTTTCAACTTAAAACAAGTAAAAGCTCCAAAAAAGATTTATGACAATAGTCTTACTTTGCACTCTTCCCTCTCTTCTGCATGCATCCAGATAGGCTTATTTTCATCTGATGAAACAGAAGAAAATATTTTATAGAACAACAAAACCACAAAGCATTCATTGTTTGATTTCTGAAATGAAGTTGTGAACCAAGGAATTATACTATTACCACCACCAAAAAACTTACTGTCCATACTGCAAGCGGCAGATAAATAAAACATGCAGCTCTTCTTTTACATTTTACAATTCTGTCTTCTTTTCTTATCTGAACTTAGAAACAGTTATTTTTTAAGAAGCTTTGAAGTCAATATATACTGCCACCAATTTGTCATGTGCCTAGTTCTGTACTAGAAAACATGCATTTATTTCTTTTATCATAACAACTCCTTTGACATCTACTAAGTGGTGCGTATGCTACTGCCAGGCAATGCAATGAAAATTCTTTTCTGCAATTTATAGTTGATAAAATGCATGTAACTTCAATGTACAGTGTAATTCCCAATTTAAAGGTATTTTACCCACTCTTTAAATGCATAAATGGAAGATCTGCCTTGACAATGTCTTTTTTTGTATCATTAAAAATCCTGCATTGACATTTTCATGTGACTGGAAAGTGACATATATTTTTCCGTGTCCATAAAAATACCAAAATTGGGTTTGGTTGGGCATAAGATAAAACATAATTCATAAACCATAAACTACCAAGTCTACCTCATGTAAGAAGAACTCTAGTTTTGAACCAAAAATTACTGCTGCAGCTAAAAGCTTTCTTATGGTGAATGTACTTCAACCCGTCTATGTCCACTTTTAAGTCCACCTAAAGCAGACAACACTTTTAATCAGGGTACTACTGACTTCCTGCGAATTTTATTTCAGAATAACTACACAAATGAAACAAGGACTCCGTTTCTTACCATCTACAGAGCCAAACTCCCGTTCGTGGGCTCGAGTAAGAATCTCTTTGTATAAAGTTTCCGCTTGCTTAAACTTGCCCTGTTTTAGGTAGCAGGATGCCTAAAAACAAAATACCCCCCCAAAAGGTATCAGCACGCTGCTTTATTTATCTATATAAATAATAAATACAATACACGGTGAATAAACGTGCATTTCAATTAATCAGAACGTTTTTCTCGTATTTGGTCTAGAAAAGGCCTACCAGATTGTTCTTCGTTTTTGCAACATTTGGATCATCTGGTCCCAGCTTAGTTTGGTAGATTTCAAGTGCCCTCTGATAGTAGTATTCAACCTCTTCATATTTACCCTGGTTCTGGCATAGTAAAGCCAAATTATTTAACTGTTTGGCAACGTCAGGGTGATCTTTCCCCAGGACCTGAAAATTAAATATACTGTATTAAAACATTCTCTAATCATCATATCAGGGCGTAGAAATAAATCATTTGGAAATACCCTGTTAGTTTTATCGCTCATCAGTTCAACATGAGGACGACAAAAACAAAAGTGGCACTTGAAAGGTATGAAAAATACTTCACTCTATTAGAAACTAAGAATGCTGCAGAACAACCCGTAAGAGGAATAAAGTAAGCAGTAAAACTTACTTTAGTAGTAAAGGAAAGTATTATACAAAGCCTGAAGATACAGGCATTCAGTCTCATGGACTAAAATAAATACCCACATTGTCAGGGAACAATCAAAAATTTTAATGATGTTTCATTTTTTAATTCCAATGCTCTTGTCAAATCACAGACTATCTAGCCACGAAATGGGAACAAAAAAGGTAAAGAAGGTTAATTACAAAATACAGAGTTTAGTATATACTCAGAGTGCTCCAACAATTCCGTAGCACTACCACAATTTCCTACTGTTTTGAATTTCAGACACTGCTAACTACTAGGGCATTGCTAACTCTTGTGGTTTATCTGGCAAATCTACCCAACCAAACACTAAAAAAAAAGGGTTTCATTTCACTTTGCCCTTTCCCTCAAAAAATCCATTCAAAGGTGCTGCATTTGGCACTCATACCTTTTCTCTGATTTCCAGAGCTCGCTTACAAAGTGGTTCAGCTTCTTTGTACTTTCCTCGTTTACCATAAAGTACTGCAAGATTGTTTAGAGTTGCTGCCACCTGTCAACAGTAGAGAAATATTAACTACAATGAAATTTGCTGATAGAAATACCTGAAAAATAGACACATCTGTAAGGCATTGATGTTTTCAAATTTTCCATGCACAGGGTAGATCTCTTGAAATTTGCAAATAAAGAAATAATTATAATTAAAACACATACATACACAACAGAGGAAAGAAAAACTCAAAATCATAACATAAATTTGTTTCATTTTTGGAAATGCACACATCTTCCTGACACCTTCTTTTGCAAAGGAACCTCTCCCATCTCACATAACCTCTCAGAGCTGCCCTGCTTCCCAGGGGCTACAAGAAGTGAGGCATGACATGAATCTTACAAAAAGTTTGATTTATGTTTCATTTACAAGCAGCAGTAAAACACATCAGAAGCGCCCCTTCAATCTGACTGTAACAGAGTGATTTGAGTAAGCAAATTAAAATCTTTCTTCACAAATTGATTTCCCACAGAAAATCCATGCAATCCAAAATCAAGTATATGCAAGTCATTCACGGTGAAACAGCACTGAATATAATGCTCAAAAGGTAGGATACATATTTAAGAGAAAACAAAGGGTGGTACATTGTGGCCTCCTACCTGTACTCTTTAAAGACAAGCCAGGTCTTAAAAAAAACTCTCCTGTTGAGTTTGATATTAGAATTAGTTGAAAAAAAATTCAGTGACAAACACAACTAAAATTATGATATTTCATGTATACAAACCGCTGGATGATCTTTGCCCAAAGTCTTTTCACGGATAGCCAAGGCATCGTTCAGGAGATTTGCTGCATCTTTGTATTTGTTCTGGTCTCTGAATTTTAAAGAGACATAATCAATACTGGTGATTCAGACCAGAAAGTCATGAAAACTAAACTGACTTCACTATTGGCCTAAAGATGCTACTACAAAAGAGGAGTAACTGAGAATATATTCAGAAATCAGGAAGTAAAAACCTAAAGTCTGTAGCCTGTAGTAGTTTGCTGACTGGGGACTGTACTAAGCATGTATTATTTCTACACTGCTGTCCAATTTCTAGCTCTAGATTATCTCTAAGTGGGTAATCAAGACATGCCTCCTCATACAAAAAAAGCATCAAATCCAGCTTCATTCCCAAAGCCAAGACACAGGCAAAAATACAGCAAGTTGTTTGACTTTTAAGTATAGGGAGACATGCAAATATTTCAGGACCCTATTGAGGGTTTTAATAATTAAATGAAAAAAAGGAAAATAAATTTAATGGAAAATAGTCAAAAATGCTTGCTAGTCTGAACAGCAAAAGGCTGTAGCCAAATATTAAGTATTTACTGAACTGGTATTTATCTATGTCAGTATACAAACCTGTACACCAAAGCAAGTATGTTCAACATAGTGGCAACATCAGGATGGTCATGACCCGAAGTCTTCTCCAGATCTTCAAGAGCTTGTTTACAGAGAGGCACAGCAACCTCATATCTCCCTTGGGAAGCATACTGAATAACAAGGTTATGAAGGGTCCGTAACCTTGCTGGAATTTCATAGCCACCTTGTTGGGCAGCTGCTGCTGCACTGCTGTGCTGCTGTTGAACTGAAAGAAATCAGCAACGTTTCAATTTGGTTAAAAGACGACTGTAATTAAAACACCTTACTGCTCAATGACACAGTGAGACTCACTGAATTTTATTTCTTCAATACACAGCATTAGTATTAGAGCATAATTCACAGCAGTCGTGTTGTCCTGAACAGTGACAGTGCAAATATGACCATTTTGTTCTTCATATTTGTAATGGGGTGAGTTCGAAGGATGCTGAGATTGAAAACCAAGACACTGCTGAAAGTTCAACAATAAACCCAATATTTATAACAAAAGTGGCCAAGTAAACGGGAACCCGAGAGATAAGAAAGGAGAGGAGTGAACTAAGCCCTCAGTGAAAGCCCCACTCATGCAGGTGGGTTTTACAAGGTTGTCTTACTGACCCCACAACAACCAGCATTCCCCATAGCAGAGGCTGCATCCTCGGAGGGTCAGCAGGCTCACAAGATAGCGGGCATCCCCACAGAAGGCAACGTTGTCCTTCTTGTGAAGCTTGAGAGCCTCGAGCATGAGCCACCTGCGTTTTTTATCCAATTAGCCGGTGACGTCTACCTGGGCCAGTGTGGCAGCACCGCCCAGCCAGAGGCCTTCGGTCCCTCCCCTGTTACATCAGCATGCTCCTTCAGCACACGTCTGAGAACTCTGGGATTCCCCTGTTGCATAGATTTAGAATCACAGAATCATAGAATTAACTGGGCTGGAAGAGACCTCCGAGATCATCAAGTCCAACCCTTGATCCAACCCCACTGTGATTACTAGATCATGGCACTCAGTGCCACATCCAGCCTCGTCTTAAAAACCTTCAGGGACGGTGAATCCACCACCTCTCTGGGCAGGCCATTCCAATGCCTGATCACTCTCTCTGTAAAGAATTTCTTTCTAATATCCAACCTAAACCTCCCCTGGCAGAGCTTAAGCCCGTGCCCTCTTGTCCTGCTGCTGACTGCCTGGGAGAAGAGACCAACTCCCACCTGGCTACAACCTCCTCTCAGGTAGTTGCATGCGCTGTTTCACTCAAGGGGTTTTATCTATTTGGGTCTGGGGGCTTTACTTCATCTTCTCCTCTTCAGTTTCTCCTTCAAATGTCCTCTACAGACAATGAGCCAATCATAGAGCACCAATTAAAACCGTTCATACAAGAAACTCTCTCTCCATACACAAAGCTCCCATTTAGCAGTGAACGTGGCAGGCAAAGAACAAAACTTCCACAGGTGGCTGGGCCAAACACAGACCAAAAAATATCAACATTCCTTGATACAATATTCTTTCCAGTACTGTACTAATATTATTTTACAATTCTGAAGGGCCAAATGTAATAAACTAACGGAGAAAGGAGGAAATTCAGCTCATCAAACCATTAACAGTTCTCAAGATTATATCATAATTTCACACTTACAAATATCAGTGTTTCCCCATGGGAAAGAACACTAATACAGGAAAGACAAATACTTGCAGAAAAGCTCCAGTGATTTGTCCTTTTTCCTTGATCCTCCTCTAAACATACAATTTTTTTTTTGTTTCCCTTTGTTTGCTATGCCAAGGAGCACTTAAGTTTGGCACATAAAGGACTGAAACACCTTGGACGCCAGAAATAACAACTGCAGGAGAAAAAGGTAATGAGTCATCAAAGCCAGCCTTTAGGTTTTACTTACTAACATCAGGCTTAGCCACTTATTTGCCAGGGGGTCTTAACCTTTGGTTGTTGCAACCTTCACTCTCCCACTCCCTGAAAAATCTACTCCTTTTCTCTTCACTTGAGAGATTTGAGAAGATTTAGAAAATTCCTTCTAACTCATTTTCATTGAATTCTAGAGAACATGCAGGATAAGGGTTCCAGCCAAGAGTATGACTTTCTCCTCTCCTTTCTATTACACAAAAAACACTCTCATGGCAAGTGGGAGCCTTTTAATGTCAGTGGAATCACACAATTCCAAGCTTATACCCACAATCACTGCCTATCAAAGCACCGAAGCATTCCACTATTTTTCTGGGAGGTCAGAGAGTCTTTGTCTTTTGTAAAGCAAAATAAGGGACATGACTATGCAGGTATATGGACAGCTTTGCTATTCACCTTTTCTACTGCAAAATTCTAGGGAAGGATAAGCTAAGGAAGGAGGTCATGGTCAACACTAACCTATTGTAAACTCTTTAAGCTTTTCTTTCATTGCTGGCTACGGACAGCATTACCACACCATCAAAAATGCAGTGTACCCTGTGTGCATGCCCATAAAGGAAATTTGAAACTCTGTGGATTGCAAAGGTGGGTCACTTCAGACCTTCTTCCTGAAGTCATTTGTCTACTAAGAACCATTCTGCTCCTAGCACACTGCACAGGCACTGCAATATCAATACGTTATATAATACCAGCTTTACACCCACACAAAAAGCACATTTTACTAAGCAAGGCTTATCTGCTAATAGCTTTTTTCAATCCCACTACCAAACCTCTACCTCAGACTCCACTACATATTCCTCAGCCCTTCTGACCCGAAGATAAACAGTACTCCCAGAATGAGTAGTAAAACTAAGGCAGACAAGCTCAGCAAAGGACAAAAGACCATATGAAAAAGACTTCATACAGAAACCTGCCATAAAAATCTTAAATCAGATCATTAAAAAGGTCATTCACAGAATTCACCTCAGTCAGTTGGAGCCAACCTTTTCCATTCTGAGACCCACAGGAAAGACCGTGGGAGGAATTTTGAAGCTAAGTCAGTCTAAAGATCTTTACAACAGCTGCTAAACTCTCTTTAAGAACCTAGGCCCCAGTTTTGTACACATTAACGTATATAACATGGTTTCCTTATTCCAGGAGAGGCATTCAGCCCTCCAGCTGCGTCCCAGAGGATCCCAAGCATGGATTCACTTTTGTAAAGAGCATCTTTATATTCTGCATTGCAGAAATACACCACCATTGTAATCTGAGGTGCACTTACTTCCTTGTCCTTGCTCATCCTCATCATTGGGAAACAAGTCATCCAAAGGCTCTTTGGTGGAATCTGTATCTTTATCCTCCTACAGAACAACCACAAACCCAAGAAATTAAATCTAAGGCATAAAAGGACAATCCATTTAATCAGCGATGTTAAAGGAAAACCCCATATTCAGAACTTCAGAATTGACAAGAGTAACGTTTCTCACAGTTTTATAAAGGTCTTACATTCAAATGTATTTACACACCCTGTCCCAAAGCAGTACAGGACACCTTCAGAAGAGCCAGGAATAGAAATCAGGTCTCCTAAATTTCAGTCTCAATTTAAGCACACAAGAACACATTTGCTGTTCTCACAGAGGCACTAGATCTAATGAAAGTACCCAGCGAAGAGTAAACACTGATGAATACAGAACTGACCATGGTACTTTTTTTAGCCATAGAGAGAGGTTACAGATGGGCAAGTGAGGATTAAGGAGACCTCAATTTCTGGGTACTCAGCTTCTGTACAAATAACTGATTTTGCAATTGTGACCTGTATGGTTCAAAAAATTTTAAAAAACCCACTTGGAAGGAAGTTCATTTCCAATAGTCTCCACCTGGAATCATGTATTTCTGCACAGCCCATCAGTATATATTGATTTTAAATATCCAGGTGTATTTTACATCGTTCCAAACATAAAACAAGAGAAAGAAATCACCCCTCAATCCCCTTTGTGGGATTGTGGAGTCTACACAATATAAATAGTTGAAGTTCTCAGAAATGTTAAGCTCAGTAAAGTGAAGACCCAGGAGCAGAACACAGTCCTGTTTTTCTGGCTCTCTATCCAACACCTTTTTCCACAGAGGAGGAAAAGCAAACTGCTGCTCTTGGCACCCAAATTCAACAGTGGCAAAGCAGGTGCACTGCAAAAACAGCAGACTGATGGGACTACATCTCAGATGGGAAATTCGTAATTTTAAGTGTGCAGATTCCAACTTCATCCTGAGTCTATAGAACTGAGTATTTCAAAGGCAGCAGACACTGTCCATATGGTTAGTGATGATAAAGATGCTTTGCCTACTCTGACTCTTATTTGCCAATTAAACTTCAAATAATGGTGCTATTTAGGCCATCTGCAGATTACAGTTTGACAGTTAGCACATCAAAATCCCAGTATTCCCTCCTCCTGCCACTTTTCTGAACAGGCTTCACTGGCAGTATTCAGCTACAAACACCAAATCATGGAACTGAACTGAAAAGTTCTGCTTGCAGTCGACCAAAACAACTCTCATGACTTTCAATATGTTAAAAAGGATTAGTCAGTCAGTTAAGCATGACTAAACTGCATATATTTTTAACTATTACATTGCTGAAATAATTAGATATGAAAAATTGTTCCTTGCAAAACACAGCTGAGAAGGTCTGAACACAAAAAAATGAAATCTTTATCTACAGTGCCATCTAACTGAAGGAAGCAAAACAAAAATATTTTAAAGAGGGTAAATAAATCAGATTTTTTTTTTAAGTAATAAGCTGTAAATTAAAGTTGCATCCAATTTCTCTCTGAATCTACAGATATGTAACATAGTGGGCTTGAAAATGTGCAGATGATCACAGTGTCTGACAGGAGGACCTGAAAGGACTACTCTAGTGTAAATTCTCAACAGATACAAAAGCTACACACTGATTTCACTGGATGAATATTAAGTATTTTTCCTGCAGTCAAAATAGGCCAAGTCCCCAAGTTACTTAGGATCTCTCACAGCTTACATTCCCCACTTATTCTACCTGCTGAATTTATATAAGTGAGATTTTGGGTTGGTTCAGTTCTTCGTATTTTTTAAGCTTATGTGACAGTAAATGAGTATTTCTGGATTTTGATCCTCATGTATTTTATTATCTACAGACAGTAAAATATATACTCTCTTAAAATTTAAAAGAACAAACTCAGAATCATTATGTAAACTATGTGACACTGGTACAAGATAAGAATTTTAATGACAAGTTTATGTTGAAGACAAAATGTACCTGTTATTTCCTGCTAAATAGGCAGATTACAACACATATGTAAATGTAAGGTGCTTTTTACTATACAGTTACTTACTGATGGTGAAATGTCATCGTCATATTTTTTTAACTGATTCATGAATTCTAGATGTTTCTTTTCTTCCTCCAGCTGAGCCACAGACTGCTCACTTTTCTGTAGTTTCTGCTGTGTATTGGCTAGTTCATCCCGTAGCCACTGATTTTCCTGGCATAGCCGGCGAACCTGAGCACGCAGTTTCTGCTTCTCTGATTCCACTGCATTTAAGTGATTTGACAAGGCCATCATTACCTAAAAAGCAGAAGGTGTCACATGACTTACATCCCCTAGAATCCAGTCCTGTATTTAACATAAAAGCCTTTTATTATTTAAACCTGCCAGCTGTGAAATCTTGGTAAACATTCACATTTCTCTTCTTTACAGATCTGTTCTCCCTCTTCCTTTAAACTCTTTTACCAGTTAAAATCACAGAATAGTTTGGGTTGGGAAGGACTTTAAAGATCATCTAGTTCCAATACCCTGCCATGGGCAGGGACACCTTCCATTAGACCAGGTTGATCAAAACTCTATCCAGTCTGTCCTTCAACACTTCCAAGGATGCAGTACCCACAACTTCTCTGGGCAACCTGTTCCCTACATCCCACAGGGAAGAATTTCTTCTTTGCATCCAACCTAAACCTGCTCTGTCTCAGTTTGAAGCCATTAATGCATGTCCCATCACTCCATGCTCTTGTAAAATTCCCTCTCCATCCCTCTTGTAGCCCCTTTAAGTACTGGAAGGGGCTCTAAGATGTCCCCAGAGCCTTCTCTTCTCCAGGCTGAACAATCCCAGCTCTCTCAGCCTGCTTTCACAGGAGAGATGCTCCAGCCCTCTGAGTATCGTCGTGGCCTCCTCTGGATTTGCACCAGCAGGTCCATGTCCTTCCTATGTTGGGGGTCCTAACCTAGAGGAACGTCTTATTAATGACTGTTTTCCATGATGCTATCAGAAGTTAAAATTGTTTCAGAATTCCCTGAAAATTAAATACAATCCTAAAATATATGAAAAGTTTGAACTAGATTACTGAACTGGAACTATTTGTTCCACTAACATGAAATGGAGCAGTTTTAACTTGAAGGATCACAAAAATAACCTAAGAACTAACACAGAGTTCTAATTTAGCAGCTTCCAGGCAGAGGAGGAAATAATTTTTGTGCTTACAGTTCATAAGGATGAACACCTCAGCATAACAGTGATACTTCAAAGGGACAGCTATACTACTGAGCTCTAGATGTGCCAGTGATCACACAATGTATATAAGCACTTTATATTACTTATAAGCTTGAGTGTGCAGACATTCAAATCCAGTCATATTAAGGACAAAAATAGAACAGCCATAAAAGCAGTAGTCTGCTTGGATTGGGGCTTTTTTTGCTAAGCGAAGTTAAATGAAAAAGCAGCTTATTAAACAGAAGCCAAACACTACCAGCAGAAGATACCCTCCCCTCACTGTGTATGCAATCTCCCACTGACATATGCAGAACAGCTGACAGCCATCCCAGGAAGCACACCTTGGAAGAGTGGGCCACTGGTGAGAATACAAATCTTTTAGATCAGTTTGATGTCCCCAAGTTGCTAGTATTTCATCTCCTCAATTTCAGGCTCTTTTTTTTAACAAAGATACCTTTAAGTGGTTTTAAACTAAGTATTTAATGTGAAACAGATGGTGTCCTTAGCGGAAATTTCAGGTGTCAAAAAATTCATCAAGCCTTTAGAAACAACTTTTTCCTATAAAGGTAAGAAAAACTCCAGGTATAATTTTCTAATACAAGTCCAAATCTCTAGGCTTCAGCACCCACGTATTTACATATTTACATATCCAATCTTTTAAATTACTTGGTCTATTCGAACAGTGACATTTGTAACATCAGAAAGTACATTTAGGAAAGTTGTGGTAATAAGGTCAACATACTAAAACACTGAACAAGCTACAATGGCAAACTAAAATCTTTTGTAATGTTACACTCTAGAATTAACTGAAAGGAAAGTCTGATCACTTCTTCAGCAAAGTTAGTTTCATTTTCATGGAAATAACGCTTATGTCACCAGACCTACGTGCATATCACAAAAACAAAAAAGTCTATTACACATTTCCATTTCTCAATTTAAATAAACAACAACAAAAAATTACTACATTGTTACAACCCAAAGCTGCAGGAAGAGTAGCCTTATCAGGTTTTAGAGTAGTAGTTTGAAGTGTAATTGGTTTCCTAATGAAGGCAGCAAATAAAGACTTCTTGGCTCCTCATCACCACAGTCCACAAAGTACCAGATGAAGCAAACAAGGCAGGAACATCTGCAACTGAGGCTGCTGAATGTGACAGAGCCAAGAATCAGAACCAGCTTTTCAGAGTCCCAATCCCACATCCGAGTTAGGAGAGAGAAGGTTTTAATTCGCTCACAGATCTTCTACAAACAACCATTAAAGGTAACTCGACTATTGCAATTTTATTCCATGTATCTTCTAGTATTTCCTCCCAACACAAAGGATCACAGCTTGTATAACATAATAAGGCCTGACAGTCTGTACCATAATGTCCAGGGCTTCTAAGTTCCCATGTCTGGTAACCCATATTTCATTCTCTCAGTCTCAATTCACCACGATCCAATGCACACAGCTTCCAGATCACCAAGCAATAACAGCTCAATCCAGATGAGAAGCCTGAGCACAGTTATAGACCAATATAAAGCCTATACTCTACATTAATATAGCCTATTAGTATTCTCTATTAATATAGAACCAACACATTGGCATTTTCAACTCCTTTGCCAACACTCTGCCATTTTACACTGGTGACTGTCACATCACATCATTCCAGGTTTTTGATCTAGTACAAAATACCCTAAAGTTGTACTGTAAACACAGTCCTGACAGCCCAACTAAACATGCATCTTTCTACTCATCTTCTGCACATGGTACCTTCATTGACTAAGACAGTTCCCAGGAATTAGCTCAGAGCCCTTTCTCTAGTGCACCAGGGAAAGCTGTTCAGATTCTGCACTCAATTCTTAACTTTTAAAATGTTTTAGATTCAATTCTGGTTTACTAAAATTTTAATAAGCATTAAGAGAGTCTTAAGCTCTAGGAGCAGCATGAGTTACTACAAAGAATCTCGGAATCAAGGGAATATAAACACAGAATTTAAGGTTATGCCACAGCTCACAGGTTGAAGCAAATTCATTTACATGTGTGGAAGTATGTGTGGGACCTTCCTATGCAGTAATTTAGAGTTAACATCTAGAGCTGCTCGAACATTACCCACCTAATGCCGTGGAAAAGTCCAAAGAGAAAATATAAATGTCTCACTGACATAAAGAGGAGCTCAGTTAAGAGCTTCAGTGCTTTAACACTGAATGTACAATTAGTTCACTAACACTGCAAGACAGACAGTAAATAACCCTGTTAATTAGAGCAGCCTTCCTTAACATACAAGAAAAATGTAAATGTCCCATCACATTACTAATAATACTCAGTAAGGCAAATGCAAATCCTCAAAGTCTGAAAAGCTCTATTTTTACTGCAATTTTACCTGTGCTTCACTAAGGCCAAGCTCCAGCATTTCCAGTGACTTTCGAATCATGTTTGATTTTTCTTCAACCAGATTAGTTTCGTCATCTTTCTTCAAACATTTCAGTGTTTCAAGTAAGCTCTGTAAAATTGAATTGTGTTCATTCTTCAGTGCCTCTAGTCCATTGATCACTTGCTTAGTTTTGGCAATGATTTCATCTTGAGTAAGCTTCTCCAACTTCTCTTCCTTTAAATACACCATTGTGGACATGTTTTCATACATTCTGAAATGGAAGAGTACGTTAGTTAATACAAAAGTAAAAATAAAATAAGTCATTCTCTCTAAATGAATAAAGTTTTCTTTTAAGAAGTCATTTAAACATACAAATTTGAAATGTATACTCAGAATGCAATGATATTTGTGCACAATTTTTACAATGTTTTAAGTCCTGGGTTTGAACTGTGTTTCAAGTTTTCCAGTTTCTACTTCCAGACTTAATATTAACACTCATTCACGAATCAGACAACACCACATAATAAAATACAGACTACAGCACGGCAGAAGAATTTCTAGCGAGCACTGAACAACAGGGCTGCACCTCCAGGATTCTGCTTTGTGCAAGAATTGGTACAAAAGTAGCTGGTGTATAAAATATACACTATAACAAATACAGCTATTTGCAGATGCTGCTGATCTACAACTCTAAAAACAACCACAAAATAGAGCTTGAAGAATTCGAAGAAATACCATCCAGCCTTCTAAAAGGGTTGATCAATCAATTATGAGAAAAAAGTTATCCTTTTCCAGTAAAAAGGAAACAACCTCTTCATCCTTTCCCAAGGCTACAAAAACTGTTATGACCACATGTTTTCCCTCCAAGACTATTTTACACTCATTATTGTAACTCTACAGTTACACAGAGACATTCAGTTGCCCCCAGGTCTAGATGCAGCTGTTTTGATCAAGATGCAGCAGCTGTCTCATGCTGGAAAAAGTAGTTTGTGTAACACAACCCTTGCGAGAAACATCTCACTGCGCTATTTTGTCAGTACCTTATGCCCTACACTAAGGATAGCAAATTTCTGAATGTTTGTCAACATCTCTACCAAATGCAAATGAAGATCCAAAAAAGTTTAGAAACTCAGGTAGCTTATCATGCACGCTGCTACTGAAATGACAAACAAGTACAACAATGTAAAAATGCAAAGAGAAGACAGGCAAATAATATGACCTTTTTTAAAATGTCCGCAGAAAAATGCTCTAAAATGAAAATAAAGAGAACTGAGATATTACTCCTTTACACTTAATATACTTGTATCTCTGAGTGAACCAGGAAGTATAAATTAGAATGAAATAGGAAAGATTTTCAAGAGCAATAAATTATCACATCTATGAGAAGACACTTGGGGATTGATTAACATTTAATATTAGTTAAACTGTATTAAAACAGAAATGAGTCTAGTTTTAGAAGAAAAAAAATTACATCCACTTAAACATTGAATTAAAACTGCTATAAGGAACATGCATATATGCACATCATGACAACAGCCAGAGGATGTGCTCTTATGCACTTGTATTACATTAAAAATAAGACTGTTCCTTCTGTTTATATGAACTCAAATTACCCTCTCTGATATGATCTCCTTCAATGCAATACCCAAAAGGCACATACCCATTTGTCACAAAAAAAAAAGCTGTACAAGACACTGGTTTATTCCATAATAATCTACTGTCTCAAAACACAGTTAATTTGGGAAAGCAGTGAATTTAGTTTTACCCCAGTCAAATACAAGAACTTCATATTCACATGTAAATGAATACGGAGCACATAAATCTGTATAAACCAGCTAATCTAGCATGACATAAGAAATTAACTCATGAAAACCTGATGAGAATGATTTTTACACATTTCCCAATTATAACCTGAGAACTATTATCCATAATGCTTAAAAGACAGTTTTAAAGCACATACTCTCTAGAGCTGTGTAGAAAAATTAACTGCAATTTAATGTGGGCCAAATTTGTAAATAACTGCTTCTAACACCCACAATCATATAAGAAATTGTTATTGATTGTGTTAACTTCAGCATACAGCTCAACTTTAATTACCCTTGGTAATTTCACACCTGAATGCAAAGAACCAAACCTTTGATAACAAGGAAATAAAACCAGCAGAGAACATCTACTGAAGTGACTACCTCTGTGTACCCCTGAACAACTCCTGCATGCCTCAGTATTATGCCATTCTACAGCAAAGATAAAAAGCAAGTGTGTCCATGTACAGTTATTATGCATGTATAGACGCTGTTTTTAAAAAAATTACATATTTTAAACACCAGAGTAGAAATAAAATGAATTCTAAGCAGTGAATACCAATAAATTAGCACCCACTCACTGTTACACAAAACCCAGAAACTAATGCCAAGAACTACATTAGGCCTTGCAATGGCCACATGTTCATAAAAAAAGAATGAAGTAGCCTGAAAAAGTAAGCACCTGTGTGACACACGAAATCCAGCCAAAACACACATCTGGGTGCACAGTTACAGCTAAGACACGAAACCAGGACACTGATTTGTTACTGTAAGGAAAAAAAAGTTGTCAGATCAGGTCCATAACCCTGGCTAAATACACTGAAGTGGCAATTAAGGGAGGCTAAGCCAGCACAGCAGCTTTTGAAGAGAGGAAAACCCACGGGGTAAAAGTATACTTAAAAGCATCCCAGCAGCAGACCTGCTTTATGAATATGTGTTGTCTAAATCCGGTGTGCCAGATTTTTTTAGCCACCTCATTCCAAACCAAATGCAGCTGAAAGCTTCCTCTGCCTCAGCAAATCACGCTGGAGCTGGAGTCAAGTCAAAAGCTGCATCAAGACACCAGACTGACCTGAAGGTCCATCCGGCCTGGAGAACGATTCTTAAGTCTCCTCTGGTTAAAATTGTTAGAATCCCAATCTCTCCTGCCGACAGGGATGCATCTTTTGGCGTAGGTTTTGTGTGGTGTCTGTTTAAATGACCTCCTCATAAAACACCACAGAAAATTTGGACAACGCTGTTCAGAGTTTCACAGATTGTGTTTGGGAGAATAATTTAGAAAACAGGAGGATAACAAACATGTAATTTGTCATATTATCAGATCTGACTCTTTGTAGGAGTAAAATGAATAAATATCCTTTAAGAGTACAGTGAAGGTGTGACGATATTTCTATTATTTTTTAAATATATTTTATAAAAGATAATTAGCTATTCATCAAGCAGCATATGTTAATACATAACCATATTATTAAATCTGCATACCCCGAGGCAGCAAACCCCATAAAGGAAGCCAGCAAATTTAAGTTTGTATGTAGGATGTATACAGAGGAAAAGAGAAAAAACGTACCCTGCCTTCCTGTTGTCACTTTTCAAAAAATGTTAACTCTTTCTTCCTATACTTTTTCCCTAGAGAAGAAAAAGGGCATAGATAAAGGCTTCTTAAGCTCCTGTCAGTTTTACCTTGACACTGAAAATTTTACCTGTTATAAGGCAGGAGTGATAGATTAAAATACTATTTTTTAACTCAGTGTACAATTGAAAATGAAACAAAGAATTAAGATGCAGAGAGATCCATTTGGAAAACAGAATTTTGGATGAAAAAAAAAATGTAAAGCATCCAGAGTTACAAACTCGCCTGCTGGCTTAAGAAATTTACATCTCTTATTAAGTATGTGCCTAGGTAAACCTTGAGTGTCACCTTCCTTGTCTGTTTTCAACAATATAGACTTTACTGAAGTACAAAAGTAACTTAGTGCTTCCCTTTTTTTGTTTGTTAAAAATCAACCAACCTTCTTCAACCACATAAAAATTAATTAACTTTGACAGATCAACATAAAAAGCCCTGCCATGGCACCTACTAAAGAGGTTTCCACAAAATTTTGCAACATTAAACTTAAAGAAATGGAGTGAGAACAGCAAGAATATGAACCAAAGAACACACAAAGGAAGCAGGGACAAGTCTCCTGTCTTTCAGTGGTGTAACCAGTGGGATAATCCCATCATATACAAACGACTTAAGTGGCTGTTATCTTTAATCAGTTTAAGTATTTTGTTATTCATAAAACTTTAAAAACGACTGCACATCAAATGCTGACATCACAATTTGTGCCTAAATTCTCCTGTGGACATACACATATCATAACTAGCTACTTAAGCTCTTCAACTCATATTTAAGGATCTCTTAAATATAAATAGCTTTTCCTACTCAGCTACTTTTAAAGAAGTGTCATTTTCCTGCAGATCACCTCAAAATATTCCTCAGCCAAAACACAAACTTATGAATCCCTCTTTGCGTAGGAAAACTTACCAAGGAAGAATTTTATTCTAAAAAACCTGTAAGATTTTTTTTTTCCTTGACTAAAGATTAGTACAGATCCTAAAGAAAAATAAACAAAACCATTCCAGTTGTTTTTTGGTTTTTTTTCCCTTGTGATGAATCCCTAAAGATTCCCTCTCTCTGTATTGATATTTTCATTATTTAATAGGTTTCAAGTACTAAAAGCTTGAGAGATAAATTTTTAATGTATCTAGTGTCTGATCATTATTACTTCAAAACACAATTTAAAATAAATAAATTTCAAAACCCCTAAAGTCTAAACTGCTGTGTCAAGCTAAATTCTCCCTAGACTTCTTCCTCTGAATATACAGTTAGCAAGCAGTATAGCTGAGAATTACAGAATAATGTGTTTGCATTAAAGAAAGAGTAAATCATCTTCCTAACAGTAAAAGCTGCTACAAGACTGTCTGTCTCCAGCCATACCTGTCATCTACATGCACTGCAAATTCCACACAGTTACAGTATATACTAATTTGAGCTTTTTGTATCTCTAGTATGTACCTATCAGGTCTCTGTTTTGTAACAATAATCAGTTCTTTTCAGGGCTTTTAACCCTAATTTCACTCTTAGTTCCCCCTTAATTAAATGGCAAGGCTCAGTGCCCTACATCTGCCATGTGCTTGCTTCAATTCTGTATGAACTGCAAATTACAAATCATTAATTCCCTGCTCAGACCAAGAACACGTCTCATTACATCATGGACGCACCATCTTCAAATACTGCGGAGCTGCTTTAACTGCTAATCTTCATAACATGGAAAACTTCCTTCTCAAACAATCCTCAAAACATCACAGGCCTTGCAAGCACAAAAAGAAAATCACCAACAAAGGCAAGAGATGAAAAACAGTCTGTGGAGGGACTGAGTTGTGTGTCAAACACTGCATTAACTGCACTCTTCCCTAAAGCAACCCA